ACACCCAACTTCCCACCACAGAGGGAGGCGGGTCACCATGCACGTCTCCATCCTCCTCTTGCTCTTGGACCACTACAGGCTGTGGCTTCAGGTTCTCTTCTTCCTTCGCTTATGAATCCCTCATCAAAAGAAAAAGACCCGTGCAGGGGAGCTCAGTCTCAGAGTTTCCTACTAGGGCCGTTTGACGCCTGGTGCAGCACCCGGGTTTTTATTGAGCCAGAAAATGGCCCCAAGAAACCTGACCGAAGTGCCTAAAGCAGCAGTACAGTCTTCGTGGTCCTAGCAATTTAGTACCATCGCAGGAGGACGTCGGCTTCTGAGCAGCTGCAGCGCACGTGCTCTGACGGTAGCCTTGGCTCCAGATCGCGCTGCTTCGAGCGCAGCGAAGTGCAAGGAATTCCCCCCCCCTCCTCCTCCCGTTGACGACCTCTTGGGACGTGTTCGGGCCTCTGTGCCGAACCCCATCCTCCACCGAGAGCACTGGGAGCACGAAAAGCATGCAGAGCTTGGCTGCTGTGCATGACAGACACACGTCATGCTTTCCCGCATGCTGCCAATGTTTTGATTGCTTTTGCCCACTGTTCAAGGAACCTGCTGTGACACATTCACTGTGCCTGATCAAAAGCACTGCTTGTTTCGCTCTAGCCTTTTCCATACTATTGAATTCCCAGCGTTTTCGCGAGAGCAAACACAACGACATAGATCCGTATAGCCATTTCACCAATCACAAGAAGCGCGACTCACAACGCAATTGGACTCCGATAGGCTCTGCCGTGATCTCACGCCCCGACAAGGAGTTTTGCACATGCGGTGATGCCATGCTCATGCATTCCATCATGCCACGTGCAAAGTACTTAAAACTGCATAAAGCAATATAAAACATAGGGATCCTACTACTGCGGTATAAGGGCCCCTACTTAAGGGGGATTTTGGGCCCCTACGCCTTCAGGACCTGGTCGAGGACCTGGATCATGGAGGCCTTTCCATGCCTGCAGCAGCAAAGTGGAAAGCAGCCGCCCCTTTTCCCCTGGCGAGGTGAGCGCAGCGGCGCTTCTTCCACAATCCTGTGGCCTCCTGGCCGCCTTCTTGGAGAAGAGGCTTGGATTGAGCAGAGGCATCCCCAGTACAGCCCAGTGCTTCCTTGTGAGAGGGGCGTTAAGTGAGCCGCACCAGCGCATCCCAAGCAATGCCAATCCCAGCAATAGCTGAGTGCCTCTGCGCCGTATCGTGGGATTGTACAGCACAAAGAAGTTCCCATGGGATCGCGGGATACAGTTGAGCACAAAGAAGTTTGCTGACACCCAGGCCCTCAGTTGAGGACGAAGAAGTTTACTGACACCCAGGCCCTGGCAGGGTTTAATGAAACTTCGGTTTCGGTTAGGGTCTTCAAAGCGCGGACGCTGGCAGTCTTAAAACTGGGGCAGCCCCATTTCCCTGCTGCTGGCAGACTCCCCTTTTCCATCCCACTCCTTGAGACAAAATTGTTCAGTGTGGCCCGGGATGTGGCTCCGGTTCTCGCCCGAAGCAACCCATGATGTTTCCGCATGTTTCCGGCATAAAGCCTGGCTTGGGTCCTTAATTCTCGGCTGCCTGCGGCTTCCCTTCCTGTCTCGTGATCCGCGCCTTCCAAACTGCCGGATTCTGCGACCGCCCTTGGCAGTCGCAAGGTGCACCATGTCAATTGCTGACTTGTCAGCGCTGGGTCAAGCTACGCCCGCCAGCAAGTCTCGACCCCGTTTGCAGCTTGCACCTCCAGCTTTCTGCCAGAGCCGCCGTCAGATCGCGGGCCCCTCCCACGTCCCGCCATGATGTGACAAGACTGAGCCTCAAGCGGCCGTGCGCCGCGCTGCGCCCGGCGGCCGTCCGCCGGAATGGCACGAGTCGAACACGGAGAGCTGACAGGTGTTCTGCACACTTAGCACAAGTCGGTGCGGTCTGGACTTCTTGGCCTTTCTTGTCGGACGCAGCGGAGGTTTCAATCAGAGACACTGCCTTACTGTTTCCGCCGGTCCTTGGGTCCTTGAGTCTGCTGCAGCTCGAAGCTTCCCACGAACCTCGCGCGCAGCTTCCATAACTCTTCCAGATCACCGGAATTTGCTGCCGCTTTGGTCGTGTGGGCTTCAGACATCTCGCCTCCCCAACCAATGTGCAGCTTGCGGCCGTCACAAGAAGTGCTTAAGGATCTCCAAGGCCACGTCTTCGACGTCTTCCGCTGAGACTCAAGAGCAGCAGCTGTCGCAGCTTTCACTCTCTGAGCTCACTAGCCGTGCTGAATGTTCCCTGAGCGTTGTGTTCCCTGCTGTTTTTGGTTTGGCGATCGTAGAAGGCTACATCCCTGCTCGATCAGAAAGCAACGGGTATCGCGTTGCCTTGTGCAGGCCACGCCCGATTCCGCAACCGCGATCGCTCTTTGCATCAAGCAGACATGCAGCTGGACGTTCCCTGGGTATCGTTTGTTCATGTGTTATCTGCTCTTGGGGCGTGCGGGAGGGTCCTCCGTGCCTTGCACGCGCGTGCCACGCAATGCGCAGCCAAGCTTTCATCACAGCCCTCGATCGGTTTGGGGCACGTGTGCCCGCTGCACGTCAGGGGAGCATATTGTTGTGTGATGTTCATCATTGCCTTAACTAATCTTCCCCAACCCCGGTCCAATCGACAGTTTCGGGATGCAATGCAACCTTCGTGCTGCAACAAAGCTACTACCGGATCTCAAGACAAATGCACCGCGTTCCCTGGCATTCCCTGGGACTTGCACCGGTTTTTGAGGCCCTTTGAGGGTGTGAGGGCAGTGAATGGGCGGAGGACTTGAGATGGAATTGGGCAGGGATTTATCAAAGAGCCTCGCGCTGTCTGACCCTACAAAGGCCTCACTGTTACATCTTTTGATGTCGTGTGCCATGCACGAGGACGACTGTAACGATATGCAAAGAGTATCAGTAAGAGCATAAAAAGTGCGGAGCTGAGAATCGGGCGGGCTGGCTTGGGGCAGTTCACGGATGCCGTCAGCTCAATGGACTCCGAGGTGTGTTGTGCATCGTGATAACCTCTGCAAGCGCGCCTCCTGTTTTCCGTGGTGGGGCGTGGTGCATCGTTGTGCATAATTGTGCATAGTTGTGCAACCAGTTCAGAACTTGGCTATACTCCGGCGATGCCCAACATAAGATTGGCACGAGTGTCAACAGGGAGTTGCTTGAGTCTGCAGCTCAAACCTTCTCACGAGCGTCATTGACGTGCAGCCATTTCCGCGCCCAATTAAGCCCTGCGGTTTCACTACACTATTCACCCGACCGCCCCGATTGAGAAGTAATGAACAGGGTCTCCTGGACCTGACCCTGCTCTGAGCCCTGAGCAAGGGTTATCGCACACGCTATTGATAACACTTGGTTGAGCTTGCCGGCCCTTCCACGCAAAGAACGTCTCAGTATGACATTAGAAGAGCCAAAAAGTGCAACACTGTGTGAGGCCAAGCTGAGCCTAAAAGGCCAAGACACAATCTTGCTAGCCCCAGCTCAAACTATACACAATTTGGCGAATGCTGCTCGGAATCCGAGGTCCGTCGAGGAAGCACTCCATTCAGGTGAACTGTTTGGTAAGAAAACCACACATGTACAGCGACATGTGCACGGAAACCATATGCAAGCTCAATGACCTTCACCCTCACTTGTTGCCACATCACCAGGGCACGGCACGCTATTGAGCATGTCTGCTGTCATGAATCCTTTCGCAGCCAAAATGGCATAGTTAGCTGCTGCAAGGCGCAAGCACGAGAGCTCGGCCGATGTAACGAGCAAGGGCAATCTCCAACGCCAAGAGGCTCCGGCAATGCGCATGGCTAGTTCGCAGAAGGCGCAGTGCGCAACGGATGCTGGTGAAGTCGCTTTGACAAAAAGAGCGTTCACGAGTGGAACAAGAGCAACGCAGCCCGAAGGGTTCGCTTCACAATGCAAGCGGTGACGCCTCGTGGTTGGCCCGACTTCGGAGCCCCTGTGGTCCATGTGACTATGAAGCCCATGAAGCTCCGGACTCATGACGCTCCGCAATCTGTTGCCCCGCCCAGTCTGGTTGTCTCATGGCTGCACAGCCGCCATTCGAGAGCAATCATCCGTTCAGTTTGAGACTCTTGCGGCCGGAAGACAGGTCATGACACCGCGGCTCGCGAGGCTCATGCGAGACTCTGCAACCGATCCGCTTTCTGAGTTCTGCACTTGTGCAGGATGCCCCTTGCGTGTTCTGTTTTCTGCTGGTGTTGCCTGCAGGACCCGAGCCTTTTGGCAATCGCCCACGGCTTGTTAATGTGTACAGACAGCACAGCTCCTGCTCAATCTGAAACTCTTGCAGCGGTCGGAATCCCTGGCCGTCTTCCGTCAGTTCAGCTCCATGTTGATCCCAACTGTCCAGTACAAAGAACGTCTCTTCGAGCTCATGCCAGACCACGCATCGCTTTCTGAATTCTCCTCCTGTGTGAGCTGTGTGCTGGTCGTAGAGCTGAATCTTACAGGCGCCCCAAAGGCCCCCAATGCAAGATATGCAAGGTGGGGCTCCTTTGCACAAGTGTCTTGCAGCCACGACTACGGCGCAGGATGCGCAGACAACACAGCTCTGGCCGAGTCTGAGATTCCTCGGTCAGAAGTCCCAGCCCACGTCCTTCAACTCAGCGGATCTCACGTGCCCCAACACAAAGAGCAAACAGGGATGTTCAGTCGGACTTCTTGCTACCTGGCATCACCGCTCTGTTTCTACGATGGCGATGAGGCACTGTGAACCTACGTCTTGGCATGCACAGCTGCGCTGATGTTCCATCCTCGCCTTGTCTGGCTTTCACGCCGACCCGAAGGTCATGTGGATATTGCAATCCCTCGAACAGCAACAGCAGCAACAGCGGCTGCCATCTCTCCCTGCTCAATTCATGCCAGGCTGTGCAACCATGGCTGAGTTCTCCGCTTGTGCAGGGGCATGCCAGGCATGCCCTGTGTGCCGCCCTACCTACTGGACCCACGCGCATGGAGCCGGCCGCCTTCGTGGCCGATATCCGCCAGAGACTGGGAGAAGCGGACAGCCCAACAGACACGGATCGTTTCTCGCATCACGCTGGGGTATGCTCTGCCGGGGGAGAGAGGACGCTGCGACACAATGCTCTGCGTGAGGCCTTGGCTGGGTAGCATCCGACCTGGCCGTCACGGCCCTTGCGGAGGCAGCCAAGGCCAGCCTCGCGGCAGCCACAGCCTACACTGATGTCAAAGCTGGGCACCTTGGCACTGCTGACGCATGCCGGGCCCAGAGAGTGCGGTTTGTGCCGCTCGTCGCTGAGACGATTGGCGCATGGGAGCGGACGGCCGCCAGGGCCCTCCTGCACGTGGCGCAGGCCGTTGCTTTTCGTGAAGGTGGGAAGTGGCAGCCGTGCATGGCCAGCTATTGCAACATCTGTGCGCCCTCGCCCGACACAGGGTTTTGGCGGCCCTCCGCAGGCGCGTTGAGTTGGCGTGCAGCGGCCGAAGATGGTGTGTGATTGCATCTGGGTGCTCTTCCTTGCTGACATCTGCAGTTCATGGGCGTGCCTGGGCATTTCCCTCGCGCTTCGTCAGCAACAGCCGCTTCCTGACCATTTGCTGGCCTTCCTCGCATTCTCTGGGTCTCCAGGTCTTTGCTTCCCTCCAGTCATGCTTGTCGCTGCTTTGAGATGGCCAGTAGTGACGGGCTATAGTCCCATGGGCGCTCACTTGTCGCGCGTCCTTGGGCCTGTCCGCAACGCTTGAAGTGTTGCAATGAAGCTGTTTTCTGTTCGCGCCGGCCTCAGCAGTAGGGATGGCGTCGTGTCATTTTAGGCTCCAGGGTTCCTTTAGCGCCGCCCTTGGCAGCAGGAGTGTGCCGGGAGCTTGGAGCTCGGACGGGGCGAGCCCATGGCCTCGCAATGCAGCCCTGCATCGTGCTATGTTTTCTGCTGGAGGCCGAGCCTTTCGGAACCGTCCACGGCGTCCGCGGCTTGAGCAATTCAGGCATCGGACTTCGGCTTCCAGTTGCCAATCGCCACAGGTATAGGACTTGGCCGAGTCTGGTACTGCTCGTATGGTTTTGATAGTTTGCCTCCATCTTAGCCAACATAACCAACCAAATAGGCACAGGACCTTTTCGCTTGCGGGACGGCTCCCGTGCCTCCGCTGCGGGTACTCGCGTTGCCGCATTGCTTACGGTTCACGCCGGCTGAGTGGCAGACTCACGCATGGGACCTTTTCGCATGCGGGAGGGCTCAGGCGGACCGGAAATCTCGCGCAGACAGAAACAGCCGTCACTCGTCCTCGCTCATGCAGCCGTCGCTTTCTGAAGTCTCCACCTGCGCAGCCAGATGCCCCTTGCGTGCTGTAGTTCCCTGGTCTTGTTTCCTGCAGGAGTGCGAGGCCGAGCCTTTTGCGCTAGCGCCTGTGCGTCTTCAATCGGTGCAGACTCAGTACTCAGTGCAAGTAGCACAGCTCCTGCCCAGTCTGAAGCTCTGGCGGTCGCAAGTCCAAGGCGTCCGTCACTTCAGCGGATCTCAAGTGTTCCAAAACGAAGAGCAGCTGCCGCCTTTCCATTGGCCTTGCTGGCCTTGCTTTCACGACATTGCATCATATTGCATCACCTCCTTTGCAAGGGCAGGCCGGCGCTCTCAGGTCCAAGCGAAGCGAAGCATCGCGCTTGCTGTGCACGTCTGATCTCGAGCGAAGCGCATCATTCTAATGGGACGTGCTGCACACCGCTGCACATGATGGACGCCGCCGAATCCTCGAGGGATTGTTATTGAGGTACGGGGGTTTCTCCGAGACGTGGTTTTCCTTGTGCTTCTCTTCACAACTTCTCTATGCGACCAGTGCTTAAACACGCGTCGCGCCTAGGACGAGCTCGGAAACTGATGCACCACTGCCATTTTCTCTCGTTCCCTAGTGTGGGCTCCGGTCCTTTGGTCCTCTCTCCCACCACCCGCGGCGTTTTTCGTGTGAGGTGCTCAGCCACGTCGGGAAAATCCTCAACGGTCGACAGAAAGCAACAGCTGTCACTTCCCCTCGCGTCGCTCATGCCAGACACTGCATCTGATACCGATATTTGCTGAATGCTCCACCCATGGTGTGGGAGTGGGAGGCAGATTCTCTGCACAAAGTGTCTTGCAGTCACGAACACGGCGCACGATGTGCAGACATCGCAGCTGTTGCCAGGTCACACTTGCGGCGATCGGAAGTCCAAGCCCATGTCCCTCTCGGTTGAACTCAAGTTCCCCTGTTCAAAGAGCCGTCACCTTTCCCACGCGGCTCATGCCCACAAATCCTTCGCTGGCAGTTTCATGGATGTTTCTGGAGCTTGGTGCGAGAGGCTTGCAAGGACAGGCATGGCACACGATGTGCAGCACACGATGTGCAGTTGCCTTTGTCCAGGCCTGGTCGGAAGTCCAAGCCGTGGTGCGATGCAGCCGTCTCTCCTCGCGCAGCTGACTCTGCAGTCGCTTCAGTCTCTAAGTTGTCCATCACTTTCTGAGTTCTCAACCTGCGCAGTCGGATGCCCTGTATGCTTTGTTTCACCCCGTTCCTGTGGCAACTGTCCTGTTCGCCCTTTCTTGGTCCGGCCTGTCCGGCCTATCCCATCCGACAGGGGTCAGCAAGTGCAGCGTTGGAGCCTTCCGTGTTGTTGTGCGTTGACGGAAGCAGCGATACCGGTGATACCGGCGATACCCCTGCGCGAAGGTGCATGTAAAAGGAATGCCCAGAATGTTTTTGTTGCTTTCTTCTCGGGTGGAGCGCGGCGAGCGCCGGGCCCAGAGGTGTATGCGACATATGCGGCCTTGGCCGATTTCATGTTCCCCACAGCCAGCTTTAGCGCTTCCAGCGGCTCTAGCGCTGGGTGACATTCATCGAGTTCATGGAGGCAGCTTTGCGGGTCGCAGCGTTCGCTGCTTTCATCAAGGCGATTCTCGGGTTCATGTCTCGAGCAGGAGTTTCCAGATGATTTTGGGCGGGCACTCGCTCGGCGTGAATGTGGCCCGGGCAGTGGCAGGGCGTGTGGAGCGCACGGGCATTGACGTGGTCGCCATCGTGGCCTTGGACCCACGCACCACTTCACAAGCTCTCTTGCGAGCCTGACGGAGACGGACTGTCTTGGGGCTTGTCTCTGACAGGTAGCTCGGTTTCTTGCTTCCGCCTACAGGCTCTGCAGCTGACATGTGATGCAGAATATGTGCCCTTTCTGAAGCTGCCGCAGCGGAGTTTTCTGCAAAAGTTCGAGATGGCCAGAGAAATGGCCGTTGAGACCTCGAGGATTCTGTCAGACACCAACCATTACGCCCTGCCCGGCTCGCACTTCTGGGACATCACCTCTTGATTCTCAAAGAGTACAGAGCCCTCATGGCTGCGGGACGACATGGGACGACCAAAGCTCGTGCTTCCATACCCTATCAAGAAGGGTGGGGCCTACAGGGCACGAGCTGAGGCTGGGCGGCAACGCTCCGAGGACCGATACGACCAAAGCAAAGATGCCAACGCGGCTCCCTGTTGTTTGACTTCTCGATCGTGCTTCTTGCTTTGATCTTGATGACTCCTCTTACCTGTTTCTTCCGCTGGAATTTAGTCTTGTGGACGTCCTGCGTTATCCCGATAGAAAATGGTAGAAAGCTTGCAGTCGTCCAGTCAGTCACTAGCTTCGGGTACATGACTGGATTTGTATACATGCTGTGTGACATCGCGCTGCGGTTTGTGCCAAGACTCTTTCAGAAAAGCAGCGGGATACAGCAAACTACGGAAGATTTTTGTCGCTAAGACCAAACATAGTTCACATAGGGCCATCGACCGCGCTACACTTCGAGCCCTTCCACTACAGCATTGCAACCGCCTCCCACAAGATTTTGTCCAGCATTTCGAGTGAGAAGCCATGGGCCACGAGAAGGATTGTGATGCGCTTCGAACTCAGCCTTCGCACGGAGCAAACAGGTAGTGTAACGGCTCACGTGTACCTCTACGAGCAGAGGGAGCGTTTTGGGAGAGTGTGTTTCGGGGGTTTCGGGTTGAGGGTTGCTGTTGTTAACACTGTTCGGAAGCCGGAGAGGGTCGGGCAGGGTCTGGGGGGGTTACCCCTGGCCCAAGCACGGTCTCCCAATTGGCAACGAGCATGCCCTACTCGTCAGTGCGCAGCATTTCAACCCTAGGCTTCCTAAAAAGCTCCTCACAGCCCTGGCAGCCCTAAAACTCCGAGCCTCTGAAAACCACCCCCCCCCCCCCCCGCCTTAATCCGAGGCCTTACTTGCCAAATAGGGGATTCCCGAAACCCTAAACCCTAAACCCTAAACCCTAAACCCTAAACCCTAAACCCTAAACCCTAAAAGGGGATTCATTGCTGTTTGGTGGGGGAGGGATACCACGAAGGTCGGGGGGGGGAGGGGGGAGGTAGGGGCACCGGATTGCATCCAAGAGCCTTCACCAGGCATCCCTTGTCGCTCCCACAGACACTTCCGAATGTGGGGGGGAGGGTTTAGGGTTTTGGTTTTAGGGTTTAGGGTTTAGGGTAATTATAGGGTTTAGGGTTTAGGGTTTAGGGTTTAGGGTATTTCAGCGATCTTGCGGCCGAATCTCCGAACCTGAATTAGGTGGCCATATGAAGGACAGAGTAACTTAAGATTCTGTGGGCCGGGCGGCTTCTCAGGCTCAATCCCAACAACCCAGCCATCACTTGTCTTTTTTCAGGATGTCGGGGCTTGGGGGAAGAACCCTAAACCCTAAAACCCATGTTCTTATGAAAGATCAGTCCAAGTCCCCCCAGCGGTAGTTCCTCGCAGGGCATGAGGAAAGTCGGCCCTTTTGAATGCCTGACCCCCCCCCCCCCCAAAAAATAAAAAAACCCTCGCGAGTCAAAAGCCTGGGGGCCCGAAGGTTTCACATCTTCAGGTTTTAGGGTTTAATTGGGGCCCCAGAACCAGGAACCCTAAACCCCTAAACGCACACGAACCCAGGCCTGCTGCGAGATCTCGTGCTGGTGCCACTTTCGGTGGCGCTTGTCCTTGCAACTCTTGCAGCCTGGATGGGATGGCGGGCGGGCGGTGGGGGGAGGGGGGGGGGAGGGGGAGTATGCCCTAACCCCTGATCTCTAAACCGTTAGACCTTAACCCCTCAGCCCCAAACCGAGGGTAAAGGCATGCGTGGGATGTTAAGGATGAGAGTCTATCCCCAAAGCTATAAGGAATCGACGTTAATAAAGACCCAGTAGAGGCCAATATCCCAAGGTGGCTCCACCCGAGCTTAGGCCCTTGTTGTCACCATACGTGCTGCTACATACAACCTGGTAAACGGATCTCAGTCGTCCCTTTCTCACGGTTTCAAGGGACCCGTTGAGGATCATTCACAGCTCGAAGTGAGACAGGGGCGCTATTGTCCGGGCTTAGGGGAGTCCAGGAAATCTTGGAACAAAAGGGGATGCTGCTTTCAGCCCTTGAGCAACACAGCTGGCTCAGGCACATGCGATTGGCACTGATGTCGTGCGCACCATCGCTTGTCCAGCTCACACTAAAGCCGCCAACAAACTCCGAAGCACGCTGTAACTTCGGCAGCAGAACTCAACACGCTACGCTGCAACCCCCAACGCCTCCAAAGCCTGCACCCCGTGGAAGCTACCCCAACATCTTCCGAGCCATTTTGAGCCCTTAAAATTCTGTGAACTTTACGTAAACTCTGTCCAGCACACCCTAAAGCCCCCTAAACTCCGAAGCACGCTGTAGCTTCGGCAGCAGAACTCAACACGCCATGTTCGGGTCTCTGTGCCGAACCCCATCCTCCACCGAGAGCACTGGGAGCACGAAAAGCATGCAGAGCTTGGCTGCTGTGCATGACAGACACACGTCATTGTTCGGGCATGCTGCGAATCAATGTTTTGATTGCTTTTGCCCACTGTTCAAGGAACCTGCTGTGACACATTCATTGTGCCTGATCAAAAGCACTGCTTGTTTCGCTCTAGCCTTTTCCATACTATTGAATTCCCAGCGTTTTCACGAGAGCAAACACAATGACATAGATCCGTCTAGCCATTTCACCAATCACAAGAAGCGCGACTCACAGTGCTAGACTCCGATAGGCTCTGCCGTGATCTCACGACCCGACAAGGAGTTTTTTGCATGTTTTGACTGCACATGTGGTGATGCCATGCTCATGCATTCCATTATGGCACGATCACAGTACTTAAACTGCATAAAACATAAGGGGGATTTGGGGCCCCTGATACGCCCCTACAACCTTCTTACGCCTTCAGGACCTGGTCGAGGACTTGGATCATGGAGGCCTTTCTATAGGGAAGCTGGAAGATTCACTCAGCGGTGACCATGCCTGTAACAGCAAAGTGGAAAGCAGCGCCCCCTTTTCCTGACAAGGTGAGCGCAGCAACACTTCTTCCACAATCCTGTGGCCTCCTGGCCGCCTTCTTGGAGAAGAGGCTTGGATTGAGCAGAGGCATCCCCGGTACAGCCCAGTGCTTCCTTGTGAGAGGGGCGTTAAGTGAGCCGCACCAGCGCATCCCAAGCAATGCCAATCCCAGCAATAGCTGAGTGCCTCTGCGCCGTATCGTGGGATTGTACAGCACAAAGAAGTTCCCATGGGATCGCGGGATACAGTTGAGCACAAAGAAGTTTGCTGACACCCAGGCCCTCAGTTGAGGACGAAGAAGTTTACTGACACCCAGGCCCTGGCAGGGTTTAATGAAACTTCGGTTTCGGTTAGGGTCTTCAAAGCGCGGACGCTGGCAGTCTTAAAACTGGGGCAGCCCCATTTCCCTGCTGCTGGCAGACTCCCCTTTTCCATCCCACTCCTTGAGACAAAATTGTTCAGTGTGGCCCGGGATGTGGCTCCGGTTCTCGCCCGAAGCAACCCATGATGTTTCCGCATGTTTCCGGCATAAAGCCTGGCTTGGGTCCTTAATTCTCGGCTGCCTGCGGCTTCCCTTCCTGTCTCGTGATCCGCGCCTTCCAAACTGCCGGATTCTGCGACCGCCCTTGGCAGTCGCAAGGTGCACCATGTCAATTGCTGACTTGTCAGCGCTGGGTCAAGCTACGCCCGCCAGCAAGTCTCGACCCCGTTTGCAGCTTGCACCTCCAGCTTTCTGCCAGAGCCGCCGTCAGATCGCGGGCCCCTCCCACGTCCCGCCATGATGTGACAAGACTGAGCCTCAAGCGGCCGTGCGCCGCGCTGCGCCCTGCGGCCGTCCGCCGGAATGGGACACGAGTCGAACATGGAGGAGCTGACAGGTGTTCTGCACACTTAGCACAAGTCGGTGCGGTCTGGACTTCTTGGCCTTTCTTGTCGGACGCAGCGGAGGTTTCAATCAGAGACACTGCCTTGTGTACTGTTTCCGCCGGTCCTTGGGTCCTTGAGTCTGCTGCAGCTCGAAGCTTCTCTCGAACCTCGCGCGCAGCTTCCATAACTCTTCCAGATCACCGGACTGTGCAGCCGCTTTGGAAGTGTGGACTTCAGACATCTCGCCTCCCCAACCAATGTGCAGCTTGCGGCCGTCACAAGAAGTGCTTAAGCATCTCGAAGGCCACGTCTCCCGCCGAAGAGCAGCAGCTGCTTAAGCATCTCCAAGGCCACGTCTTCCGCTGAAGAGCAGCAGCTGTCGCAGCTTTCACTCTCTTAGTTCACCAGCTGTGCTGAATGTTCCCTAAGCGTTGTGTTCCCTGCTGCTTTTGGAGTGAATGTCGAAGGCTCCATCATTGCAGGATCAGAAAGCAACAGGCATCGCGTTGCCTTGTGCAGGCCACGCCCGATTCCGCAACCGCTTTCGCTCTTAGCATCAAGCAGACATGCTGGGCGTTCCTTTGGTATCGTCGATTCATGTGTTATCTGTGGAGTCCTCCGTGCCTTGCCCGCGCGTGGCACGCAATGTGCAGCCAGACTTTCATCATCTTTCATCACAGCCCTCGATCAGGGGCAAAATGCCTTAGCTAGTCTCGGTCCAATCAAAAGTCCGGGATGCAATGCAACCTTCGTGCTGCAACAGAGCTACCGGAACTCAAGGCAAAAGGCTCGGGTGGGAACTGCGGTGAAGTGACAAGTGTAACCTGATGCAAAAGACTCCTTTCTTGCGAAGGGTTTAAGGGTCCCTTCTCTGTGCCTTGCAGTAGAGGGGACTACAGCTACCGACTCGTATCTGACAAGGCTCGCTCCGCAACTGTCGCCCGTTTGAGACCTCAATAAACCGTAAAGAGAGTGGCAGGGTAACCCCGCACACCGGCAACCTGTAAAATTAAATTAGTTTACAGAGCCCGTTGTCAAGTGCATCATGCACACGCGGCCATTTCCGCGCCCAATCAAGCCCTGTGGTTTCACTACGCTATTGAGCATGTCTGCTGTCATTGAGGCATAGCGAACTGCTGCAAGGCGCAATCGCGAAAACTCGGCCGCTGCAGCGAGCAAGAGCAATCTCCAACGCCAAGAGGCTCCAGCAATGCGCATTGCTAGTTCGCAGAAGGAGCGGTACGCGACGGATCCTGGCGACTTCGCTTTGACCTAAGAGCGTTCACAAGTGAAACAAGAGCAACGCAGCCCGAAGGGTTCGGGTCAGAGGCAGGTTCCGATGTAACAATCGTTGACGGAGCCTCTAATTACACCGGCTTGACTTCGGAGCCCCTGTGGTCCATCTAACTATGAAGCTCCGGACTCAGACCGCTGTTTGCATGCACAGCTGCGCTGATGTTCCATGCCCTCGCCTTGTCTTGCTGTCACGCCGACCCGGATCAGTGACAATTAGCATGGCTGGACCTTCGGGTCACGCGGGCATTGCAATCCTTCAAAGAGCAGCAGCTGCAGCAGCTGCCATCTCTCCCTAACTCATGCCAGGCTCTCTGCAGACATCGCTTTCTGAGTTCTCCACTTGTGCAGAGGCATGCCCTGTGTGCTGAGCAATTCAAGCATCGGACTTTGGCTGTTGCCAATCTGCACAGGTAAGGATTTGGCCGAGTCATGGCTGTTGAACTGCTTGGTGTTGTATAGTTTGCCTCCATCTCAACATAGCCACCAAATGGGCCGACCATTGAAGTCACAGATCCTGTGCTCTAGGTTGTATACCCAGATCCCGTTGCTTTCTGCCACCTGCTTAGCCAGATAAAACTTCTCGGAAACCCACCATTTCTACCCGTGTCACTGCACCAGAAGCCCTGAAATGCCACATCTAAAGAAGTGAGTCCAAGAACGCACTTAGGGAAAGCAAACCCTATAGACCCTAGGCCCTCTACCTGTTAAACCTTTTGCCTACGATGTTTTGGGTCGGAATAGAAAAACCTGGTTTTTCTTGGTTTTGAAAGAATTTCCTGGAAATTCTAGAACTTCTGGGTTATCTGGATTTTTGCCCGTAATTTAGCCGTAATTTGCCCATAAAATCCCGTAATCTGCCCGTAATTTGACGTGACCCAAAATATCCTGGTGTTTTTAAAATTTCCTGGTTTTTTTCGGCCACCCAAAAAACGGCAGGCAAAGGAAGCTATAGGTAAACCCTGAACCCTAGGCCCCTAAAGCCCGCATGGGACCTTTTTGCGCACGGGAGGGCTCATGTGGACCGAAGATCTTGCGCAGATAGAAACAGTCGTCCTCGCTCAGCTCATGCCAGACTCTGCACCCGACATCGCATTCTGAATTCTCCACCTGCGCAGCCGGATGCCCCTTGCGTGCTGTGTTTCCTGCTAGTCTTGTTTCCTCCGTGAGTGGGAGGCCGAGTCTTTGCACTAGCGGCCACTAGCGCCCGTGCATTGTCAGTCGGTGCAGACTCTGTGCAAACAACACGGCTCCTGCCCAGTCTGAAGCTCAGGCGGAAAGTCCAGCCGTCCGTCAGTTTAGCTCTCAAGTGTTCCAGCTGTCACCTTCGAACTTCCTAGTGGCCTTGCTTTCACGACATTGCATCATCTTGCATCACCTCCTTTGCAAGGGCAGCCCGGCGCTCTCAGGTCCAAGCGAAGCGAAGCATCGCGCTTGCTGTGCACGTCTGATCTCGAGCGAAGCGCATCATTCTAATGGGACGTGCTGCACACTGCTGAACATGATGGATGCCGCCGAATCATCGAGGGATTGTTATTGAGGTACGGTATTTTTTTCCGAGACGTGGTTTTCCTTGTGCTTCTCTTCACAACTTCTCTATGCGACCAGTACTTAAACACGCGTCGCGCCTAGGACGAGCTCGGAAACTGATGCACCACTGCCATTTTCTCTTGTTCCCTAGTGTGGGCTCCGGTCCTTTGGTCCTCTCTCCCACCACCCGCGGCGTTTTTCGTGTGAGGTGCTCAGCCACGTCGGGAAAATCCTCAACGGTCTACAGAAAGCAACAGCTGTCACTTCCCCTCGCGTCGCTCATGCCAGACACTGCATCTGATACCGATATTTGCTGAATGCTCCACCCATGGTGTGGGAGTGGGAGGCAGATTCTCTGCACAAAGTGTCTTGCAGTCACGAACACGGCGCACGATGTGCAGACATCGCAGCTGTTGCCAGGTCACACTTGCGGCGATCGGAAGTCCAAGCCCATGTCCCTCTCGGTTGAACTCAAGTTCCCCTGTTCAAAGGGCCGTCACCTTTCCCACGCGGCTCATGCCCACAAGTCCTTATCTGGCAGTTTCATGGATGTTTCTGGAGCTTGGTGCGAGAGCCTTGCAAAGACAGGCATGCCACACGATGTGCAGCACACGATGTGCAGTTGCCTTTGTCCAGGACTGGTCGGAAGTCCAAGCCGTGGTGCGATGCAGCCGTCTCTCCTCGCGCAGCTGACTCTGCAGTCGCTTCAGTCTCTAAGTTGTCTATCACTTTCTGAGTTGTCAACCTGCACAGTCGGATGCCCTGTATGCTTTGTCTCGCCCCGTTCCTGTGGCAACTGTCCTGTTCGCCCTTTCTTGGTCCGGCCTGTCCGGCGTATCCCATCTGACAGGGGTCAGCAAGTGCAGCGTCGGAGCCTTCCGTGTTGTTGTGCGTTGACGGAAGCAGCGATACCGGCGATACCCCTGCGCGAAGGTGCATGTAAAAGGAATGCCCAGAATGTTTTTGTTGCTTTCTTCTCGGGTGGAGCGCGGCGAGCGCCGGGCCCAGAGGTGTATGCGACATATGCGGTCTTGGCCGATTTCATGTTCCCCACAGCCAGCTTTAGCGCTTCCAGCGGCTCTAGCGCTGGGTGACATTCATCGAGTTCATGGAGGCAGCTTTGCGGGTCGCAGCGTTCGCTGCTTTCATCAAGGCGATTCTCGGGTTCATGTCTCGAGCAGGAGTTTCCAGATGATTTTGGGCGGGCACTCGCTCGGCGTGAATGTGGCCCGGGCAGTGGCAGGGCGTGTGGAGCGCACGGGCATTGACGTGGTCGCCATCGTGGCCTTGGACCCACGCACCACTTCACAAGCTCTCTTGCGAGCCTGACGGAGACGGACTGTCTTGGGGCTTGTCTCTGACAGGTAGCTCGGTTTCTTGCTTCCGCCTACAGGCTCTGCAGCTGACATGTGATGCAGAATATGTGCCCTTTCTGAAGCTGCCGCAGCGGAGTTTTCTGCAAAAGTTCGAGATGGCCAGAGAAATGGCCGTTGAGACCTCGAGGATTCTGTCAGACACCAACCATTACGCCCTGCCCGGCTCGCACTTCTGGGACATCACCTCTTGATTCTCAAAGAGTACAGAGCCCTCATGGCTGCGGGACGACATGGGACGACCAAAGCTCGTGCTTCCATACCCTATCAAGAAGGGTGGGGCCTACAGGGCACGAGCTGAGGCTGGGCGGCAACGCTCCGAGGACCGATACGACCAAAGCAAAGATGCCAACGCGGCTCCCTGTTGTTTGACTTCTCGATCGTGCTTCTTGCTTTGATCTTGATGACTCCTCTTACCTGTTTCTTCCGCTGGAATTTAGTCTTGTGGACGTCCTGCGTTATCCCGATAGAAAATGGTAGAAAGCTTGCAGTCGTCCAGTCAGTCACTAGCTTCGGGTACATGACTGGATTTGTATACATGCTGTGTGACATCGCGCTGCGGTTTGTGCCAAGACTCTTTCAGAAAAGCAGCGGGATACAGCAAACTACGGAAGACTTTTGTCGCTAAGGCCAAACATGGTTCACAGAAGGCAATCAACCGCGCTACACTTCGAGCCCTTCCACTACAGCATTGCAACCGCCTCCCACAAGATTTTGTCCAGCATTTCGAGTGAGAAGCCATGGGCCACGAGAAGGATTGTGATGCGCTTCGAACTCAGCCTTCGCACGGAGCAAACAGGTAGTGTAACGGCTCACGTGTACCTCTACGAGCAGAGGGAGCGTTTTGGGAGAGTGTGTTTCGGGGGTTTCGGGTTGAGGGTTGCTGTTAAGGGCAGGGTCTGGGGGGGGGGTTACCCCAAACCCTCAACCCGGGACCCAAGCACGGTCTCCCAATTGGCAACAAGCACGCCCGACTCGTCAGTGCGCAGCATTTCAACCCTAAGCTTCCTAAAGCTCCTCACAGCCCTGGTAGCCTCAAAACTCCGAGCCTCTGAAAACCACCCCCCCCCCCTAATCCGAGGCCTTACTTGCCAAATAGGGGATTCCCGAAACCCTAAACCCTAAACCCTAAACCCTAAACCCTAAAAGGAGATTCATTGCTGTTTGGTGGGGGAGGGATACCACGAAGGTCGGGGGGGGGGAGGGGGGAGGTAGGGGCACCGGGTCGCATCCAAGCGAATGTGGGGGGAGGGTTTAGGGTTTAGGGTTTAGGGTTTAGGGTTAGGGCTTAGGCTATTTCAGCGATCTTGAGCCTCCTTGAATCCCCGAATCCATGAATCTGAGTTAGGTGACCATGTGAAGGACAGCGTAACTTAAGATTCTGTGGGCCCGGCTTCTCAGGCTCAATCCCAACAACCCAGCCATGTCGGGATGGCGGGGGTTTGGGGGAAGAACCCTAAACCCTAAAACCCATAGGGTTTAGGGTTTAGGGTTTAGGGTTTAGGGTATGTTCTCATGAAAGATCAGAGGTCCAAGTCCCCCAGCGGTAGTTCCTCGCAGGGCATGAGGAAAGTCGGCCCTTTTAAAAGCCTAAACACCCCCCCCCCCTAAAACCCTCACAAGTCAAAAGCCTGGGGGCCCGAAGGTTTCACATCTTCGGGTGTTAGGGTTTAATTGGGGCCCGAGAGGAACCCTACACCCCTAAACGCCTAGACCCCCAACACGAACCAGGCCTGCTGCAAGACCTCGTGCTGGTGCCACCTTCGGTGGCGCTTGTCCTTGCAACTCTTGCAGCTTGGACCGAACGGGGGCCGGGGGGGGGGGGGGGAGGGAGTATGCCCTAACCCCTGATCTCTAAACCGTTAGACCTCAACCCCTCAGCGCCAAACCGAGGGTAAAGGCATGCATGGGATGTTATAAGGACGAGAGTCCATATCCTCAAAGCTCTAAGGAATCGACGTTAACAGAGACCCAGTAGAGGCCAACATCCTGTTCATCAGCCCCCCATGGAAGAAGGCTGCGAAGGCTTCCAGGTTCTTCCGACGCTGCCGTACTTGCCTGTGATTTCGTGTAGCCGCCAGAGTCAACGATACTGTTAAGCCATCCCAAGCTTCCTAAACCCCCCTCCCTCCCAAAAAAAAAACAAAAGAAAAACTGGCTATCCCTATTCTCGACACAAGCCCAGCCTGATAGTTGCGGAAGCAAAGCTCAGGCAAGCTTGGCGATCTGCTGCTGCCGAGCCTGGGCATGTTAGCAGAGGGCGGAGGTGCCAGTGTCGGAACTCTCAGCCTCAGCAGTTCCGTCTAGCGTTCAAAGGAGGCTGAGGGTTGAGGACTTCTAAGGTTTTTCTTGGGTTTAGGGCTCTTCATGCCCGGAGTGTTACCCCGTTCAGACTGTAGCTTGATGCCAATGCCTGGCTCTGCTCTTTGCTCTGTGTATCTCCTACGAAGTTTTCCTGTAGGAGGTGTAAGCGGCCGCCTCCGAGTTCGCTTCCTAACCTGTACTTCAGCCAAACCCTAGACCCTGTACCCCTTAAAATCCCCCAAATAAAGTCTCACTTCACTCGACTCGAAGCCCTAATCACAACCAGCCCTCAGAACCCAAAGAAGAGAACCTCCCAAAGTACTCCCCTAAACCCAAAAACCCTAAGCCCAAGGAGCTACGGGCTGGCTGCCGCGTCCGCCGGCCTCGGGCTTATCGAAGCAGCAGAGACTCCCCCTTTGATCCCTCTTTGACCTCAACACATCCTTCGTTTTAAGGGGAGGCCTCAAAAATGCTGCAGAAGGGGGAGCGTTGGGGTTAGTGTCATTGAGTCGCGGACTTGAGATGGTGATCAGGATAGCAATCAGTATCGTTTTGCGCATGGTGCGCCAGCACTGTGGAGACAGAACCTGAGCCACCTTGGCCGAATTCGCCCGTGTCGACCCTTTCAACTTGAGAGCCTCTCTCAGTCCTAATTAAGCCTTGAACCTCCCGGGACTTGTGCTTTGAAGGTCTGAAGCCAAGCCCTGCAGCGCGGCGACTCCCCGAAGATTCCTCTGAAGGCCTCAAGTTCGGGTGTTCGCGTTGAGGGTGTAGGAGCGAAACGAGGCATTGATTGTCTGTGGACCACTCTGGACCCGAGCCACACGTGGCCTCTGCTTTTGATCACCAGGGGTTGTCTGTGGCCTTTGCGGATCACCATTGCACAACCGAAGGAAGAAAAGGAAAGGACAAAGGATTGGAAAAGGCTTGGCCGAAGCCACGGGACGACAAGAAGCCCTCGGAAAGCCGCCGACTTGTCCAAAACGAATTTTGGGAACTCGCAGCGTGCAAGTGAGCTCGGGGGACGTGGCTAGCGGGACGGGGCATTCCCACCCCTGCGAAGGACCGTTCCTGACAACATTCTGCAGAAAGGCCACCAGATCCAAAATCAGAGGTCGTAGTCACCCGCTTCGCCACTGGCATCTCGAAGCAGCTCCGCGGGCTACGGAATTCTATATATATATATATATATATGTATGTATATATTTATATATATATATATATTTATTTATTTATTTACATACATACATACATATTCATTTGTATATATATATATATGTATACGTATCTGTATATCACTGGAAAAACATAGGTTCTGTAAAGGGAGCAGCACCCTTGGTGAGTCAGAAACGTCGCGTGATGCAACCAGTGCGAGGAAAGTATGAAAGCCGACCTGATGCCCGATCAAGGTAGTTAAGAGCACTTTCGGACCTCCAGTACTTGGGCATTGCATTGGCAACACAGCGGTATGTTCTACTGACGCTTCTCACAGTCTAGCCCTTTTTGCAAATCGGTTGCTGCCGCAGGTCATCGGAGGTACATGTTAGTTCAGAAGCATGGCCTCTGCGTCTTCGCAACAACAAAGAACAGGGAACTGCGAGGAGTGTGATGTCACGGGAAACGCACACCTGCTGGTATGGATTGTGCACATTACTGTCTTCGCAAGAACAAAGAGCAGGGGACACTGATGGAGCTGACGTTTATCTCTTTAGCCAGCGCCAATGTCGAATGGGGTATATGATGGGTGAGTAAGAAAACGAAAGGACACCCGTTAAAGAGTCTCGCTGCCGGAACGAAGCCACCGGGATTGTGGCGGATACCCTAAAGCCTTAAACCTTAAACCGTAAACTGCAGATGTATTATGGGGGTTCAGACTGAGGACTTTGCTCCGCGTTCGATGTTTCCTGCAAGAAACTCCCACCCCTGGTTCCAGCTAACACTACCTTATATAGGGATACTTGTGAATTTTGCTGAGGTTCCAAGTTCAGTAAAGGCCACAGGGTCCGAAGAACGCTAAACTTCCGCAAGCTTCCCCTAGAAGCATGAAACACAGCTGCTGCTGAGAAAAAGGCCTATAAACCCTAAGCCCTAAATCCTAAACCCTAAATGCTTGCGAGTCTACTCGAGTTTCCGGAAGGATGGCAGCGAGGCGCTCTACCAGGATGGGAAAAGCAGCTTGGCGATTCGCATACTTTGCGGAGAGGTCCCAGATTGAAATTAGCTTCTGAGGCAGCATTGCATGCCGAAACGGTACAAGTCCCGTGTTTAGTGTTGCGGGTACGAGCACATAGATACTTTGCGATCCGCTTTCATATGTAGTGTTGAAGGCCTGCTTGTCCTTTGCTACGTTCTTCGCCAGAAGTCCCCAGAGGGCCCCTGTTCGTGTCTTCCACTGAGCCCATGTAAACTTGTCAATTTCAATGCCTGCGAGGAACGCCCGGCTTTCAATGGATTAACATGACGTCTTGTGTCGCGTGCATCTTGACAGCAAGGCCCGGGGCATGTGCTGAGGGAGGATCCTAGAATCCTACTGGTCGCTGAGTTTAACTCTCGTGGTGTCGAAGCTGTAGTGGCCGTCTAGTCACCCGTAGAGATCAAAGACGCCTCCTTTCGCCGGTGGCAGGGTGTGTCGCTATGGAGACGGACGGAAAGCTCAGGCAGGGCTTGGAGCTCCTGCATGGTTCAGTGTATATCAGTGTGTTGTTCTTGCACCGAGAGAAATGCTGGTGCTGACAGGCCGTGAGTAATCCAGAGCACAATGCCTACGACCGAGGATCCGCATGTTCTCGTTGGCATGACTCTCGTAATCATTGTAGTCTTTCTCTTCTCAGCGAGATCGGTTTTCACTTGATAATTGATAACTTGGAAATGTGCGGACATGCCGGAAGGAGCGAGGACGTGACGATCCTTCCCTTGTCGCAGTGCAATTGTAGCCGACAGTGACGTTGGCCGTCCGTTCGCCTCGGCACCTGTCAGTTCCCGGAAGCCACAGGGCGACAGCTTCGGCTAGCTACAGCGCTAGATTCTGCGCTGCTCTGGGCACGACAGCAACAGCTTGCTCACATCAAGAGGCTTTCAAACTTTGCCGCAGGAATGATGAGGCTGACAGGTCTGTCTCTCCGGCTCCCTACCCCGCAGTAAGCTGCCGTGCCCGCCGTGCCCTCCCTCCATCCTATACCACCAAAAGAAGATCGAGGGCGCCGTCAGTTCGGCTCAGAAACGGGTGCTGCAGTGGTTGCAGATCGATCCTTGCAGGCCGAGGCACGCGACGCTGCGATTCTGCTTTCGGGCATCCAGGATGCGCCGTCACGCGGCCTTCAGTCTACGAGCTTGGCATGTTGCTTCTGGATGCTGCTCCTCGGTGCATCGCCCGCCGACGCCACTCTGTCGAGAGAGTCTTTAGCACTTAGCACAGGTTCGATGCTTGCTCCGGCCATGATGTGCGTGTGCGGACCAGGCTGGCCCACAAGCCTTTGAGTCAGGGGGAGTCGGCACACTGAGACGCGCCAGCCAGCTTCAGGGAAGATAGCACAAGTCGCTGTGGTCCGGACTTCTTTGCCTTATTTTTTGGACTGCGGGGCTCTGGCAGCGGAGGTTTCAATCAGAGACGCTGCCCTATGTACTTAAGTTTCGCCGATCCTAAAGTCTGCCATTCGGACTTTCTCCGCGCCCCTTGACTTGCAGCCGCGTCTCCGCGTCAGACTTCTCAGCCACAGCTTTGAAATTCTTTGAGCAACAGACATGTCGGCCCCTAGAGGCCAATCCATCCAGAACAGTGCCCGACAGAACAGCGAAGGATTCTTGCGGAGGACCTTTAAAGCATTAGGCCCATCGGCCTCCCCGCAAATCCAAATTCGAGTCAGGACCTTAGCCCACCCAGCCCTTGCCCAGGTTTTGAGCTCGGCCGTCACAAGTCCAAGGCGTTTTCCGACGGAGCTCCAGTGCCAACTGCAACAGCTCTATGGACCAAAGAGCCACAGACGGCATGGGTGGACCTTCGTCTTGCACAAGGGCCACTCAGGCCTTGACACTGGCCGAGCACAGCTGTCAAATTTCCCAACTCCGCAGCCACTTTCGCTCTCTGAACTTTCCGCTTGTGCAGCTGAATGTTCCTGAGCATTGTGTTCCCTGTTTCCTTCGGTTCCGTGGATTTCGAACGCTCACACACGCATAGAGCAACAACCTCTCACGCTTTCTGGCACGGGCCACGCCGGACTCCACAAATGTGTTCACTCTCTGGTTTCCTGAGCCGATGTTCCGCAGCTTTCCTGCCCGGCCTGTCACAGCTCACCAACTGCCTTAGGATCTTCAGCACCTTTCCGTACCTTACTTGCCTCAACTGTTGCAACATACCCAGATCCAGGGCCGCGAAGGGCGTGACTCACTGAAGGCCATGCGCTACCCCTGCCTGCCGCATTCAGACTGCACACTGACTCAAGGCCACAGCTCGGCGACTTAAAGGCCTACTTGGAGCTCGCGGGCCTTCTTCCTGCATCTTTCACTCCGACTCAGATCTCAAGCGCTCCAATGCCGAGAGCAACAGCTCTTACCTTTAATGCCTCTCCTCGTGCAGCTCCTGCCCGGCTTCGAAACTGCTCTCGCTCTCGGAACTCAGTCGTTCAGCTTGTTCGTGGATTCCGAAGGCCCATACGCAAAGGGCAACAGTTTGTATATGTTTGTATAGGTCGGCCTCCACCTCAGAAGAAAGCATGAAGATCCGGCTTCACACCGCAGACAGTGACAGACCCAACACTCGGGGCTTTCTCGCTTGCAGGCAGGCTCGAGTGTATGACAGTCCGCTCCGAGGTCCGGCGCAACAGCCGCCCTAGTCACTGCCTTACTGGCCTGTTGCAACATACTAGCCGTGGAGAAACGTCCCGGCTACGAGCATGTCCCTCACTAAGGCCACGCTCAGGTTGCACACTGACTCAAGGCGCTCGGTGACTTAAAAGCCAGCTCCTTGGAGCCCACCGGCCTTCTTCCTACATCTTTAACTTCGACTCAGATCTCAAGTGCTCCAGTGCAGAGAGCAAGAGCTCTTGCCTGTCCCGACTCCGCAATTACTTTCGCAAGCGTTCGCTCTCTGAACTCTTCGGTTGTGCAGCTGGATGTTTGTGAGCATTGTGTTCCCTACTATGTTTTGCGATTCCGAAGGCCCCTTCATAGAGAGCAACCTTGTGTCCTGATGCAGGCCATGCCTGCCGCTTTCACTCGCAACCGCTCTTACTCTCTGCTTTGCCGTGCAGCCGGATGTTCAGCTTTCGCGCGCCCTGCCGGGCCCGGAGCAACAACAAACTTAGTCACTGCCTTACTGGCCTGTTGCCATGTGCTAGCCGTGGAGAGACGTCCAGGCCCGGGAGGAGGATGCCCCTTCCGACGTCTACCGCTTCTTACACCGTCTGCCAGTCGCCGTCCCCGTTTGGCCGAATCCAGCGCAAGTGTTCCGATGCAGAGGGCAACAGCTGCTGTTCCCTTTCCGCGCTCTCTTTGCACAGCTCTCGCCCGACTTCGGACAGGCTTTCATTCTTGGCATGCTGGGGCAGCTTTCGCTTTGTCTCGTGTCGGGAGGCTGATCCTTTGCACAAGTTCCTGGCTGCAGGAGCATGGCGCAGGATGTTCAAGCATCGAGGTCCGTGCCCAGCCTGGAACTCTTTCAACTGTCAGAAGTCCAAGGCCACGTCTTCCGTCGATGCAATGGATCTCAAGCTTTCCGGAACGGAGAGCAAGAGTTCTTTCTTTTCCTGGTGCAGCTTATGCCCAACTCCACCACAGCCAGCGCTTTCCGCATTCTCCAGCTGCGCAGCTGGATGCCCTATGCATTGTGTTCCCCGCTGGCCTTGGAGCCTGCTGGAGCGGGAGCCCGAGCCTTTGCGCAAGGGTCATGCAGTCACGAGCATGGCACGCAGCAAGAATTATCAGAGCTCAGCAGAGCGGCGTGCGGTGTCGGTCGGACATCTGGACCTCCCCGGCAGCTTCGGCGTCGCTTGGCACTCAGGCTTTGAGCAGCATGCAGCTCCTCACTTTCACGCTTTGCATTCACCCGACAATGCTTTGGCCTTTAGCAAGCAGGGATGCACGGAAAGCACAGCCGTCACATCCGTCACGATGTATCGGGAAACTCATGAATCAGCAACCCCCTTCGCTCTCTGAAGAGATGTGTTGCATTCCGTGCCGGTCTGAACTCTCTCGACCGTTGGAGACCTCACCTCGAAGCCTGTCATGAGGAGCATTCCGTGCTCTCCGGAACGCCTTGCTCTGAGTCCCGATACCATCGATACGCCCTTCTGCATGGTGGGTGGCGTACTGTGCTTCTGGAAGCACCGCCGCAAGTTAAAGAGCCTGGTGCAGCTTCGCTCTTGCACTGCACTAGCCGCTAGCCATGGAGAAGCGTCCTGGCCCGGGAAGCGCACGCCCTCGTTAGCGAAGGCTGGTCGGTACTCCTGTGTGCCCCACCGAGACGACAAACTGAAACTCCAGGTCGCTGCTCTGTGATCACAAAAAAACCAGCTCCTTGGAGACTGGCCTTTTTGCCGCCATGTGTGTTTAGACAGCTGACAGACCTTGGAGTTTGCGGGCCTTCTTCATGGGCATTTTGCTCCGATTCAAAGGAGTGCAAGTGTTCCAATGCAGCTGGCTGTCCTCGCAATTCTCACGCGACTCATGATCTCCAAAACTGCCCCAGTCTGGAACTCTTTCCGTCACAAGTCCAAAGCCACGTCTTGCGTCCATTCAGATCTCAAGCCAAGACGGCTCACCTTCGTGAAGCTGCTCGCTATCTTTCCACCGTGCAGCTGGACGCCTTAAGTGTATTGTGCTGCAATGTGCTGCAGTGCGTGGTGTGCTTCGTGGTGTGCTTGCAACATAGCCGGCATAGCCAGATCCTGGCCCGGGAGAAGCGCCCTCATGGCGCAGGCTGACCGAGACGAGAAACTGAAACTCGAGGTCGCTGCTCACGGTGCTGCTCACAGCTACTTGGGGCTCACGGGCCTTGCGCTCCAGTGTACTTCCTGTCGTATGTACGTGTAGGTGCAGGTACTTCGGGCCCAGCGCCCGGCACAGCCCTCTAGGTGTTCCTCGGCCTACCCAGGTGCTGTAAGCTTATTGGGCACCTCCCCAGTTGCGGTGTCACTGGCCCGCACTGGCATTTCGGCTCGCAGACCTCAGGAGCCCATTCTGCATGCATTCAATTTGCATTCCTTGTGCTTCTGAGTCAGTCTGCAGGTCTCGGCTTCACTGTGTGACTCGGAATCAAAGCTAGCATGTCTTCGCGCATGAGAGTTGTCTCCACCTCGTCTTGACTGTGGATTAACATTGCGCTTCATTATTTGGGGATTTTGGGGGGGTAGGCTTCGGAACCCCTAAAACCATGCATCGCGCAGGTTGCCAAGTGTCTTGCAGCCACGAGCATGGCAGCTTCCCGGGGCAGTTTCTCGGGGGTCTTTAGCTAACATAAGCGGGAGCTTCCAGGACAGACAGCACCTGCAGCCCACGCCCGATTCCGCAACCACTTTCGCCCTGGGCGTTCATCATAACTGGACATTGCTCAATGACATCGTTTGCAGCAACAATGTCCGGCCAGTGGCATGCAGGGCAAGGGTAAGGAAAAGAGTGGGCACACGACCGCTTGCACTCTCGGAATCATATTGAAACATGTCCCTAGCCGCTCGTCATGAAGAGCATTCCGTACTCTCCGGAACGCCCTGCTCTGAGTCCCGATACCAGCGATACGCCCTTCTGCATGGTGGGTGGCGTACTGTGCTCCGCTGCAAGTCATACTTCCGGGCGCGGCCCACAGTTCACAGAGTTCACAGTGTGCTTGCAATATCCTGGCCACGGACAAGCGTCAAGGCCCGGGAAGGGCATGCCCTCGTTGCCGAAGGCTGGTCGATACGCCTGAGCAAACTGAATCTCCAGGTCGCTGCTCGGTGATGGCACAAAAGCTCCTTGTCCTGCGAGCTTGCGGAGCTCGGAATCAAAGCTAGCGTGTCTTCGCGCATGAGGCTTGTCTCCACCTCGTCTGGACGTTAGATTAACATTGCGCTTCATTGTTTGGGGGTAGGTTTCGGAACCCCTAAAGCCATGCATCGCGCAGGTTGCCAAGTGTCTTGCAGCCACGAGCATGGCGCACGGCCAGCAGTACCAGAGCTTACCTATGGTGAACTCTTCTAAGTTGGGGCTTCCAGGACAGGCAGGAGCCGATAGACAGTGACAGACTCATACTCGGGACCTTTTCGCTCGCGGGGAGGCTCGAGTGTTCAAAGATTCGCTGACAGCAGCCGCCACCTTTGCTCTTGGAGCTCACGCCCGATTCCGCAGCCACTCTCGCCCTGGGCGTTCATCAGAACTCGGAATTGTTCAATGAACCACCCCCCCCCCCCAAGCCTGGAGCTTAAGACTCTGAAGACTATTGCCCAGACCGGAACTCTTTCGACCTTCGTCCAAGGCCCTGTTTCCTCCGAATCCGTGGTTTTCAAGTTATCCAAAACACTGATCGACAGCTGTCGCTTGCCGACGTTCGACTCCACAACCGCTATCGCGCTCTGAACTCTCCAGCTGGGCAGCTTCATGTTCCCAGCGTCTTATCTTGTGTTCCCTTGTGTTGAAGTCTGCTGCAGTGGGAGTCTGATCCTCTGCACAAGTTCCTGGCTGCAGGAGCATGGCGCAGGATGTTCAAGCATCGAGGTCCGTGCCCAGCCTGGAACTCTTTCAACTGTCAGAAGTCCAAGGCCACGTCTTCCGTCGATGCAGTGGATCTCAAGCTTTCCGGAACGGAGAGCAAGAGTTCTTTCTTTTCCTGGTGCAGCTTATGCCCAACTCCACCACAGCCATCGCTTTCCGCATTTACCAGCTGCGCAGCTGGATGCCCTATGCATTGTGTTCCCCGCTGGCCTTGGAGCCTGCTGGAGCGGGAGCCCGAGCCTTTGCGCAAGGGTCGTGCAGTCACGAGCATGGCACGCAGCAAGAATTATCAGAGCTCAGCAGAGCGGCGTGCGGTGTCGGTCGGACATCTGGACCTCCCCGGCAGCTTCCCGTGGCCCGTCACCAATTGTTTTCGGTTTTGGCTTCGCTTGGAGCTCAGGCTCAGGCCTTGTTTTTAGAGGGCCACCTGTGCTCGAGCAGCTCACGCCCGATTCTGCAGCCACTTTCGACCTTGGTGCTTGTCAGAGCATGTTCAGGGACCCCTTCCCGGTCTTACTGAGCACAGAGGGCACAGAAGGGGGCGCGTTGGTTCGCGCACTTCATGCCTGTATCCACAGCCACTTTCGCTCTCCGACTTGTTGTGTTCCCTGCAGAAGGTCTTGAAGCCTGGGGCAAAATGGCATGCACTGTTCACTCTGGGCCCTGCTCGGAACAGCAAAAGCTTCCAGACCTTGTCCTAAGCCGAATTGCAAGTGGTCTCGGACCAAGATGTGCGCAGCCCTCCGGTGAACGTTTTCGGCCTTAGTCGGCCACGGCCTACTTGGATTGAGGTTTCAACTTCTCCGAAGAGAGCCCGAGTAGGGATAGCGCATGACATGCAGCTTGGCGAGTGTCCTGTCAGACACACGGGCAGTTCTTATTTCGTTCCTTGTTGGGAACCCTAAATACAAGGCTCAGTAGAAAGTGACCCCCAAACGGGAACAGGATGTGTGCCGAAAACCAGCCACGGCTGTCGCCTTCCCTTTCTGCAGCTCATGCCCCAGCTGTGCACCTTCATGTTCCTTGTAGGCTGATCCTCTGCATCGGTGTCTTGCAGTCTTGCAGGCATGGGCATGGCCCAAGACGTGCAAAGCGTTCTTCATCCAGGACAGCACAGAACCCAGGCAATCTCGCCGGAATGCCCTCGAAAGGGGTTGCAGAAGCGGGGCCAGGCCGAGCTTAAAGGTGACAGCTGCCGCTCCTGCAAAGCTCGGGAAGCTCTGAGAAATTCGACCATCACACGGTTGTAATCTCTGCAGTGCTGACCCCGTGCATGCTCATTGACTTAGTCATGACTGTTCCTTCAGAACGAATAAACGAGGACCGCAGGCCGATACAGATGTTAACCGTCTCAGATCGATCTAACAGGATTCGTCCACGCCAACTCTATAAGATGCATTTTCCACTTGCGCAGCTGGAGAATTGGGAAAGCTGCAGCGGTCGAGCGGGGAGACATGCGCCTCGCGCGTTGCCTCGCGCAGCTCATGCCTGAGCCCGCAACCGTCCACAAGCGCTTTTGCTCTCCGAAATCTCCGGCGGTGCAGGACTTGTCTTCCCTGCCCTGCTCGTGAAGCCTGGAGTGGGGGGATGATCCTCTGCACAAGCGTCTTGCACGCGATCGCACGCTGTACAACCAAGCCCTCGTGTGTAGACATTTGCCTTGGGACGGCACAGCTGGGGCACAGTCTGGCCACAAGTCCCCGGCCCCGCCTTCCTGAGATTCGGTTCCAAACGTAGTACAGACACCGATAGCTGGCAACTGCCATCTTTCCCCACGCAACTCCTACCGACTGTGCACCGGCGGCACCGGCTTTCACTCTTCGGAATCTCAAGTGCGCGCGCAGCTGGATTCTCAGCTAGATGTGCCCTGTGTGTCGTGTGTTCTGGTGTGGAAGCCTGTGGGAGTTAGAGGCTGATCCTCGCCCGCGTCTTGCAGGGGGCATGGTGCACCATGAGCCTGTTTTTGGTCTGAACCAGTCCTTTCGTCCGCTTACTCTGGAACTCCAAGTCCAGGGCCAGGGCTTCCTGTAAGGAAGCCAACGGCAACAAGAGCAGCAAAAGGTGTCACGTTTCATCGGGGAAATCACACCCTCTGCAAGAGCAACCGCTCTCAGAAATCTCCAGCTTTGGCGCTTGAGGTTCCCTGATGTTCCCTGTGTCGACCTTCAGGACAACACATCACGGAAAGAAACTGATCCCAACATTCTCAACCTGCAACATTCTCCTGCGCACCTTCAGGAGCAAGTCCTGCCATTCATTTCACAAGCCCTTCTGCTGTGACATTGTGGCTCAATGCATCTTCCAACCGTTTCCGGCAGGGTCCACAACACGCCACTGGGCCTTACTTTGCTCCTCCAAGGCAGAGCTGATGTCGGCCGAAATCCTGTCCGCAGGCCGGTTCTACGGCCCCCGCTCCCCCGCCCGCCGGCAAAAAAGATAGAACAAAGGAGGGAGACCGAAATTTGTAGCTTAGGCAAAGCGGCAAGCCCCCAAAGCTGGGTTGCATAAGCTAGGCATCGACTTTTGGGACTTGAGTCATTGAGGCGCCTCGGCCTTTCAAACGGCACTGCTTAGAGCAACTCGATTCGACATCCACGTGTGCCTTAAGGAGAGGCTTGGTTCTCAGCTCCTGGCCAGGGTGAAGTAAGCCAACGGCATGGGCCCGTAGATCGGGCCACAGGGCATGCCTATAGGGCCTGAGACCGCTCCCAGGGTTATAGCAGTCATAGCTTCATAGCCTTTGTGCACGACAGCTCGCCGCCGTGCAGCCGCGCTACCGCGTGTCAACCCGCACAAAGGAGCGCAAAGTCACGAGGGGTCGCGGGATGGCCCTGCAGATCATAAGATGTTGCTGCGAAAAAATGCGTTTCAAGGACCCAACTACCGTCAGCACAAGTTGCCACCTTTTAAAGCCCAAACGTGGCCCCCTCCGCAACAACTCTTCGCGCTTTCAGAAAAGGATCGGCAGCTGGTCCGAGTGCGGTCTACAAGTAAGAGGCTGATCTGCACAATCTCCACCTGATGCTCCTTATGACCAAGTCCTGCCGCACCGCCAAAGGCAAGGCAATCGAGGAGCCTATGCACTTAAGCAGTTGGATACCTGCACCTGCAATGCTATGCTCACGAGGCCATGCAAAGCTCCTGAACATTCCAGGATGGGCTACGGCCTTATAATCCCCATAATGAACCCTGTAAAGGGCCCTTTATAAGGGATTATAGGGTATAGCAGCCCACCTGGTTCCTCAGCGGGTCGCAGCTGACCAGCCCATTCTGCGTGCACAAAAATGTGTGCTTCTGGGAGCATTTCGCTGCCTGTCATGGGCCCAATACGTGGTGCAGCCTGCAGTGGCTTGCAGTCGGGTTTTGTAACATAGACATAGCTGTCATCTCTGCGAGAAAGCTAGGGGTCTCCAAGGCAGGCCTGCGCGACAGAGGTCTCAAACAGGGCGCGGCATGCAAAAAAGACAAGAACAAAGCGGCACCCCGTGACCGAAGGCCCGACTCCATACCTGCGATCGCACTCTGAATTCTGCAGCTGTGCAGCTGAATCTTCCCTGCGTGCTGTATTCCCTGGCGTTAAGGATTGCAGGAATGGGAGGCTGATCCTCTCCACAAGTGCCTTGTGGGCACGGGCGTTGCGCAAGAGGCCGAAAGACGGCTTCAGCTTTGGCGTCCCGAGCGAGGGGGTTTCCGGACGTGCTTGACCAAATTTGGCACATGCTCCACATGCGCGAAAAGAAGGCTCGATCGCGGGTTGGGTAAACGCGGGTTTTAGGTAGGTAGGTGGTAGTGGTAGGTGGGAGGGGGTGGGGGGAGTGATAGGACCCTAAACCTGCAAGCCCGAAGCCCCTGTAATTCCTTTGCTGACCTGTGACACATGTCTCAGAGGGGAGTTATCCTTGGTACCAGGGCCGTTGAGAACATGAGCCCTTAGGGCGTGGAAGTCTCTACGTTTTTGTACAGCATGGCCTGCAGAGCAAAGTGTCTTCCTCGGTGTGCCGGAGACAAGTGCAGACCGTCCACTGTGAAGCTGCTCTTCTAGCAACGTCGTCTTCCACCGTGTTCCCGGCTTTGAAGCCAGCAGTGGGAGGCTGAGTACACCCTCACAACCCTAAACCCTCAAGTGGGTCGCCAAACTCCCTTAAAGGAGAGAGCAAGAGCTGCCACCGTCACCTTTTCTCGTGGAGCTTATGCCCACCACAACCGCCATCGCTCTCTGCAGCTGGAGTGGATGCCGAGCCTTTGCGCAAAGATTGTTGCAGGGAGGATGGCAGAATTACCAGAGCTCACCAGAGCGTATCAGAGCGTGCGATGTCGGTTAGACGTCTGAGCTCGGCAGCTTTTGCAGCTTTTGCAGACACGCGTTCCTTAACTTGCAGAGGCATAGGCTTCGGCTTTGCTTGGCGCTCAGCCTTTGCTTCTGAAGTTCCTGAAGTTCCTGAATTTCCTGAAGTTCCTGAAGTTCCTGAAGTTCCTGAAGTTCTGAGAGTGCTGCAGCTCATGACTTTCACGCTGTGCTTTGCGAGCGTGCCTTCGGCAACAGCTGTCACGTTGCCTGGGGCAGTGCTTCAACCCGCTTTCGCTCTGAGTACGTTGCATATGTTGCATATGTTGCATTCCTTGCCGGTCTTGATTCCTCCAGCAAGATCCTGCAAAACGGCTGTCGCTTTTTGAGTTCTCCAATGCTGGACGCCCTGCTTGTGGGGAGCCTTTGGAGTAGGCCGATGTTGAAGTGTCTTGCAGTCACGAGCATGGTGGGCCAGTACCAAAGCTTACCAGAGGGCAGAGGGGTCTATGGTACTCTATGGTGATCTCCGGACTTCAAGCAAGGCGGGGCTCCTTTGCACAAGTGCCTTGCAGCCACGACTACGGCGCAGGATGTGCAGACAACACAGCTCTGGCCGAGTCTGAGATTCCTCGGTCAGAAGTCCCAGCCCACGTCCTTCAACTCAGCGGATCTCACGTGCCCCAACACAAAGAGCAAACAGGGATGTTCAGTCGAACTTCTTGCTACCTGGCATCACCGCTCTGTTTCTACGATGGCGATGAGGCACTGTGAACCCCTCGCCTTGTCTGGCTTTCACGCCGACCCGAAGATCGTGTGGGCATTGCAATCCCTCAAACAGCAACAGCAGCAACAGCGGCTGCCATCTCTCCCTGCTCAATTCATGCCAGGCTGTGCAACCATCGCTGAGTTCTCCGCTTGTGCAGGGGCATGCCAGGCATGCCCTGTGTGCCTCTTGGCCGCCCTACTACCTACTGGACCCACGCGCGTGGAGCCGGCCGCCTTCATGGCCGAAATCTGCCAGAGACTGGGAGTAGCGGACAGCCCAACAGACACGGATCGTTCGCATCACGCTGGGGTATGCTCTGCCGGGGGAGAGAGGACGCTGCGACACAATGCTCTGCGTGATGCCTTGGTTGGGTAGCATCCGACCTGGCCGTCACGGCCCCTCAGCGGCAGCACACCCTTGCGGAGGCAGCCAAGGCCAGCCTCGCGGCACCCACAGCCTACACTGATGTCAAAGCTGGGCACCTTGGCACTGCTGACGCATGCCGGGCCCAGGGAGTGCGGTTTGTGCCGCTCGTCGCTGAGACGATTGGCGCATGGGAGCCGACGGCCGCCAGGGCCGTCCTGCAAGTGGCGCAGACCGTTGCTTTTCGTGAAGGTGGGGAAGTGGCAACCGTGCATGGCCAGCTACTGCAGCATCTCTGCGTCCTCGCCCGAGGACACAGGGCCCGCGCGGCCCTCCGCAGGCGCGTTGAGTTGGCGTCTGCAGCGGCCGAAGCCGGCGTGTGACTGCATCTGGGTGCTCTTCCTTGCTGACATCTGCAGTTCATGGGCGTGCCTGGGCATTTCCCTCGCACTTTATCAGCAACAGCCGCTTCCTGATCATTTGCTGGCCTTCCCCGCAGTCTCTAGGTCTCCAGGTCTTTGCTTCCCTCCAGTCATGCTTGACGCTGATTTGAGATGGCCAGTAGTGACGGGCTTTAGTCCCATGATGTCCCAGGGGCGCTCACTTGTCGAGAGTCCTTGGGCCTGTCTGCAACGCTTGAAGTGTTGCACTGAAGTTGTTTTCTGTTCGTGCCGGCCTCAGAAGTAGGGATGGCGTCGTGTCATTTTAGGCTCCAGGGTTCCTCTAGCGGCTCTAGCGCCGCCCTCAGCAGCAGGATTGTGCCGGGAGCTTGGAGCCACGCAGTTCTTGCCTGACTCCGCAACCACTTCGCTCTCAGAGTTCCCCCACTGTGCAGCTGGATGTTCCCTGTTAAGCTGCTTTGGCTTCTGGCCATCACAAGTCGGGCTCCGAGTCCAACTGCTCCAATGCGGAGAGCAACAACAGTTCAACAGTGGCCTGCCCGACTGGTCGGGAAGCCAGCCAGACGTGGGAGGTTGATCCGTTGCACTTGCGGCATGCTTCCGGCCGCAATCACACGGCCAAGGTCATGTCTGCCTTTCAGTGTCAAAACCGGTAAGGAGGGCGGCAGAACTTCTACCTTTCTTCGCACCTGCGTGTTGTGGTCTCTGATGCCTGCAGAAGTGCGTGGCTGATCCTCATCTTGCAGGCACAGCAAGACGTGCGATCATTTTGTTCCAGGACTGGAAAGGGGCTCGTGGGTCTTGAACCTGTCTGGACCAGGACAACACAGAACTTGCACAGTCTGGATCGCTTGCATCGGTCGCAAGTTCAAGGCCACTCCTAGCATTCCGGATTTCAAAGGCTTCAGTACAGCGAGCCATTTCCTCACGCAATTCTTGCACACTCCAACCTCTTACGCTCTCTGCTCTCTCATGTTGGGCAGCCGGATGTTCTCTGTGAAGCTGCTTTGGCTGTTGGCACAAGTCCAAGGCCACGTCGTCCTTTGATTCAAGGGGTTTCAACAGAGAGCAGCAGTGGCCACCTACCGCCAGATCCTCTGCACAAGTTTTTACAAGACTTATTGCGGCACGAGCTTGCGCAGTCCGGAACTCCATTGACGCCATATAGCGGGAGGCTGATAACGTGGGCCGCAAAACTCCCTTAAAAGAGAGAGCCAGAGCTGCCACCGTCACCTTTTCTCGTGGAGCTTCTGCCCGACACAACCACCGCCATCGCTCTGTGCAGCTGGACGCCGCTCTTTTCCCTGCTGGTCTTGGAGCCTGGAGTTGGATGCCGAGCCTTTGCACAAGCATTGTTCTAATGGTTCTCCCCACACGATCCATAGCTAACGTAGTTTCAAGGTTTTTTCCACGAAATTTTGCAAAAGCACTTTCCGAACGAAAATGACCATGTCGGTTGTAGAAACGCGATCACAACAACTCGTGCGCGAAAGTTAAGAAGCGTGCGCGACGCATTCCCCTCCCCTGGGTTTTTGGACTTCCCACATGATCCATAGCTAACGGCTAACGTAGTTTCAACGATTCTTCACAAAATGTTGCCCAAAACCTTTCCGAATGAAAATAAAAACTTTTGTTGTAGAAACGCGATCGCAGCAAGTCGTGCGCGAAACCTAAGAAGCGCGCGCGGCACAAGTGTTGCAGTGAGCATGGCAAGCAGAATTACCCGAGCTCACCAGAGCATGCGATGTCGGTTGGACGTCTGAGCTCGGCAGCTTTTGCAGCTCCAGACACCCGTCAGGAACTTGCAGAGGCATAGGTTTCGGCTTTGCTTGGCGCTCAGCCTTTGCTTCTGAAGTTCCTGAAGTTCTGAGAGTGCTGCAGCTCATGGCTTTCACGCTGTGCTTCGCGAGCGTGCCTTCGGCATGCAAGGGATGTTCACAGAGCACAGCTGTCACGTTGCCTGGGGCAGTGCCTCAGCGCGCTTTCGTAACTCCATTGACTCTATTGACAATCACAATCACAAGGCCAAGCTCACATCTTCCTTCGATTCGGTGACTGTGAAGGCGTTCCAGGACCGCCATTCAGACGCCGCAGCATGTGCCCAGTCTGGAACTCTTTCCACCGTCACAGCCATCACAGCCATCTTGCGTGTATGTGTTCGTGAATTCACATCTTCTTTCACTCCCTTCTTCACGAATAAACGAACGCAAGCATTCACTTCGTTCATTACGCTCACTTCATTCGCTTTTCTGCTTCCATTTCGTTCATGCGCTTCGCGAATTCACGCCCCCACAAAGAGCCCCCAATTATAATATTAATGTAGGGCGCGCGTATTCACTTGCCCCTATATTACTATTTTATTGACAGTCACAAGTCCAAGGCGTCATCTTTTGATGCAATGGGTTCCGAAGGCAGTGCAGAGAGCAATAGTGGCCTGTCGAACGTGGGGCTTCGAGCATCAGAGCCCTCAGCGGTGTATTGACTTCCCCCTTCTTCAGTCCGCACGCTCTTGCTGAAAGGTTTTTCGCAGCGGAGCCCTTGGCAAAAGCATGGGAAGCCATCATGGGAAGCCATCATGAAGCCCGTCACCGGCCTCAACCGTATGGCTCCAATCGAGACACAAGCAAGCTCGTGAGGAGTCTCTGTTCAGCTTCTTTTGTCGGTTCGGTCGCGGCTTGATCCGGAGCCTTCACCTTTCCATTGCTTTCAGCAATCCGAGCTGTACAGCCCTTCGGCTGGGCTTTACTCGACTAAGATGGTCCGTGTACGATACTGTAGCAGTAGGCTGTAGAAACTATAGACAGTAGGCTGTAGACACTATAGACTGTAGGCTGTAGCAGCGCAATTTGCAGGGTCGAGCATCGTCATGGCCGGTCCTTAATGCGTTCGACCGTGAGCTGTTGTCTCAGAGCGCTTCCCTATTCAGGGTTCCAGAGGGTTCCGAAGGTGCTAGGATACCGCTAGGAAACGGAGCAGCAGTCGCAACAGGTCCCCGAGCCTTTCGGACTTGACACCGTTGGTAACCGCTTGGACTGCTGGGTCTTCCTCAAAGTCCCTCCTAGTTCATCGCATGTACCCGGCCGTGTGTCGACATTGACGGAAGCAGCAGTACTGCCACAGGAGCAGGAATGTAGAAGTTGTAGAAGGGATGCCGCCTTTGCTTTCTTCTCAGGACTAGTGCGACAAGCACCTTTTCCAGAATCCTATGTTCACCTTGCTGGTCTTATGTTCCCCACAGCCAGTGCCAGCATATCGGTGGAATGCATGGAGACAGCTCTACGCTTCGGAGCATTCGCTTCTTTCGTAAAGGCCGTTCTGGGATTCATGCCTCGAGCAGAGGTGTCAAGGTGATTTTGAGCGGGCACTCGCTCGGTGTAAACGTTGCCCGGGCAGTAGCAGGCTACTTGGAGCGCATGGGCGTGGATGTCTCTGCCATCGTGGCCTTGGACCCGCGCACCGGTCCAGAAACTCTCTCGCCTTCAGGTTTGCCGCTGGCTGCGACAAGCAGTTTGGTGCGCTGCATCCGCCTACAGGCTCTGCAGTTGTCATGCCATGCACCCTACGTGCCCTTCATGACAATGCCTCAGCGCATACTTTGCTACAACCATGAGATGCGAGAGACGCCCCAGTAGCCATTGAGAGTATGAAAATGCTGTCGGGCACCACCCACAACACGCTCGCAAACACCCATTTCTGGGACATTGCATTGGTGGTCAAAGAGGCTATCCAGCCTGTCTGAGACAGCGCACGGGGCGGCTTAAAAAGACCAAAGCGGCCACAACGAAGATACCAAAGCACGAAAAAGCGTGTCGATGTCAACGGGCTTTCGAGTTGCGAATCCGTTTTGTACTTGAACCCAGCTTGGCTATAGGACATCTGAGCGGCAGGCTTGTCGCACATATTATTGAGGCATTAAGGTGATCATCAAGCACGCTTGTTGTGTACTCCGTAGCCATATATTATATGGCTCAGGCCAAGGCATGCACAAGCTCGGCAGGTTTGGACTATGTGAAGGCCGCCAAGTACCTTGCATGCCCACTCTGTCGCAGGACGGGAACCATCAACTAATGAGCATACCTGTAGAACCAGAACAACAATCAGGAACCAAGAAATCGCGAAATAAACGAAACAATGCGGCTATTGTTTCTTACAAGAACAATAACAATATCAGCATCAATTATAATGAATCTGAATCATAAGCATGTGCTCAGTATCGAAGATGCAGGAAGACAGATCAAGCTCAATATTGCAAATGCAAAGCCCAGAATCACCCCAAACCGCCAACATTGTCGCAAACGCGAAGGCCTCCCCGAACTCACCCGCTCACCCGGGGATTTCCGAAAGTAGGGGTACCCCTTACAGTATATGCCCTTTGAGGATCCTGTTATGCGGCACCGAGTGAAGCTGCGCATAGTCGCAAAGTTCGACTCTCCAGCATGTACTTTTCGCTAGGCGAGAGCAGAGAGCGGTGTTCAATTTACGTATCGAGGGAGGCTTGTGCAATCGCGGAGGACAGCAGAGAAAGAGAGTTGAAGGAGTTGGAGCACAGAGCTGCCGCCAAAGGCTTCGAGGCTGCTGCTGAGCTCAGCCAAGAGCTGGCCTCAGACATCCCCTGAACACCACGCAAAAACAAATTGCGGTAGACAAGACTTGTGTCAGAACGCTGCAGAGAGTCGCGCAGCGGCACAGCGGCCAGTGACTTAGAAAAAAACCTAGCGGACCTGGCGTGCGGAGTAGTGAATCGTTGCCGTATGTTGCCATCTGGCTCTGGCCTTTTGTTCAGATTTTTTCGATAGGCTCTCAACAGCATGCAACCGGAGGCATCGCTCCCACATCGAGTGTAGTGGCAATGCGGATGGCTGGCCCCATGGATCTTGCTCCGGAGAGTAACCCCCAAGATGCCGCTGAGATGCCGGGCACACCGCAAATTCCGCAAACCTATGGCCAGCTCAGCCCAGGGGGGAATCCCTTCAGCCCCTTCCGCAGCCGCAGAACAGCGTTTGTGTGCATGCCAGTGCCGACCACAGAGGCAGCAGAGGCAGCGGAGGAAGCAGAGGCAGCAGAGGCGGAGGAGGTCGCGGACCCCAAAAAGGAGATTCGGGAGCATACTCTTGTGAAATCTCGCTTCAGCGTCCGCAACATTTGCTGCGACGCGGAGGTTCGATTAATCGAGCGGGTGGTTAAACCTCTGCCTGGCGTGCAGAACGTGGCAGTGAACAGTTTCCAGAAAGTTTGTATTGTTGAGCACTGCTCGCCGTGTTGCACGTCTGCGGCGACCATTCTGGCCAAGTTAAACAATGCAGGCTTGGGCGCAGCTCTTCTTGGACAGGGAGGTGACGAGATCAGCCCAAAGCTTCACTGCCGTGCGTGGTGCCGGCGCTTTGCCCGCCCCATCGTGGTGCTGAGCACTGCCTTGTGCATGCTTGCAAGCGGTCTTCTTCAGAGTGTGGGCCTGGATGGCCGAAGCCTGGAAATCGTGGCGGTTTGCATCGGACTGCCCGGCATTCTGTGGGAAGCCATCAGGGGCATGAGGCAGCTTCAACTCGATGTCACTTCACTCGTCTCACTTTCAGTCTTCGCTGCTGGCTGGCATGGCGAGGTTTTTGATGCAGGCCTAGTAGTGCTCTTATTTAACCTGGCCAAGATCATTGAAGCGGCAGCCTTCCGTCACGTCAGAAGGTCACTGCGCGCAGTCATGCAACTCCAGACGGTCCAGACAGTCCAGCTGGCAAGAAGGCAGATTTCGGACTTGCAGTGTGGGGATGTGATCACACTACGACCCGGAGAGCAATGCCCGGCCGAGGGCTGTGTTCTTGCCGGCCTCGCATCTTGCTCAGAGGCTGCCATGACGGGTGAGGCGACGCCGCACGAGAAGGGCAAAGGCGCAGAGATCTCTTCGGGAACTTTGGTTCTCAATGGTTATCTAGAAGTCGAGCTCAGGAAGCAGCCCTCCGAGTCGCGGATGTCTGAAATTGAAGGCAAGGTGCAGGAGGCGCAGGCCAAGCGCACTCAGAGGCAAATGATGATCAGCAGATTCTCACAGAAGTGGACCCCAGCAGTTCTGATAGCAGCGCTCCTGACCGCGTCGATGCCCGCGATCCTGGGCGGTGACTATGCTGAATGGCGGCACAGAGCCATTGTGCTTCTGCTTATAGCCTGTCCTTGCGCCATCGTCATCGGCGCGCCGCTGGCAACCACTTGTGCAATCGCGGCAGCAGCCGCGCACGGCGTGCTGATCAAGCGGCCTGACACGGTGGAGCGCTTGCCAGCAGTAGCCACAGTGGCTATGGACAAGACCGGTACGCTTACCAAAGGTGAGATGGCAGTTCTACATGTGCAAGCCCTGAGCAGCTCGAAGGACAAGTGGGAAGAGCAGGAGGCACTGAAGCTGGCTGCTGCTTTGGAGATGAAGTCTGCGCACCCCATTGCTGCTGCCATCGTCTCAAGGGCTTTGGGCCATGTCGCTGATGCCTATGGCTCCGACCTGGCCATTGTGAAGAAGGTTCGCAACCTGCCAGGCGTGGGCATCCAAGGCCATCTGTCCTTGGGCGCTCAAGAGCACACGGTCCTTCTTGGAAGTGGCAAGGCCTTGGAGCTGGACCTGGTGAGTGAGTCCAAAGAGTCCAAAGAGTCCAGAGCAGAGTTCGCAGCTTTTGAAGAGATGCACCCGAACGACACCACGGTGGCCCTGATCATTGATGGCAAACTACAGTACGGGCTTTCTTTGAATGACACGCTGCGGCCCGATGCCGTCAGATTTGTCGAAGAGCTACATGGGTTGCAACTGAGGCCATACATCTTGACTGGAGATTCTGAGACGGCGGCCATGCACGTTGCTGGCCTTGTCGGCCTTGATCCAGGGCTCTGTTGCTTTTCCATGGCTCCCGAGGAGAAGACGGAGTGGGTTGAGACTCAGCAGGCGGCCAACAGAAAGACACTCATGTTGCTGGGCCATTGTTGAGAGTCATCTTACATCTTTATGAGCACTTATTAAGACCCAATAAGGAACAACAAAGATACACATATTTCAAAAATAAGCAACCCCTATGAAGAATGGTGCAGGTTGGGGGATGGCATCAACGATGCCACGGCTCTTGCGGTGGCCAGCGTGGGCGTTGCAGTTGGCGAGACTGGCGCTGCTCTTGCCGCACAGTCGGCAGATGTCGTCTTGCTAACAGACAAGTTGCACAAGCTCTCACAGTGCATCCGCATGTGCAGGTATGCTGTTCGTATTGAAAGGTTGAGTATCGCGATCCCTTGTTGCCTCAAATTTGTGCAAGGAATCGCAGCCTTTTATGGTGAGCTTGACCTGTGGATGGCAGTTCTCGCAGATTCAGGCACACTCATTTTTGTCTTGGTCTTAGGGATGTCCATTCTGTCCTCCCGATTTTGGAGCCCTGAAGTCGGTGGCAAAGCCACAGGGCGGAAGGGGTATGAAGAGCTAGTTTAGTCTTAAGGGCGCCTCTTCAAGAGAGTGCGGGAACACACTTTTTCATCTTCTAAGGCTAGCTTCTTTTAATCGTCCAAACTGGGCGTTTTTCCAGATGTCAAGCCCTTTTCTTCACGTGGTTGGACATGCGCTCGAAGTATGAGTGCACGAGGGGTGGGGTCATGCACTGTGAGACTCACAGGCCAGAGCGAAGCGCAAAGATCTCGCAGCCGCCAGTGTGTGTGCACGTGTCTGTGTCTGTGTCTGTGTCTGTGTCTGTGTCTGTGTGTGTGTGTTCCAGCCGACAACGTCTTGGCAGCTACTATTGACCTGTTTTCTAGAAGCCTTATCCGGAGGGCGAAGCGAAGACTGCCAGTTAAAGCCTCAGGGAAGCTTTGCTTGCACTTTTGCTTTTGCCGAGGTTCAAGTTAGCTGGACAAATCTGGCCATGTCGAAGGCGTTTGCAGCAGGATTCGGCGCTGTGGTAGTGCAACTCTTTTCCGGCCTTGCGCCCGGGCGTGCTTCGTGGGGCTGGACTGTTACATGGACCCTGACAGTGCCAGAAGAAGGTGATTTCACGTGCCAAGAGGGCAGCACTGGCAGCACTTTTACTGGCACTAAAGGTTTCTCTGGGGATGCCGACTTCACCTGCACTGTGGTGCCCAACTCTGACAAGACGTGTGACGTAAACCGCATCAGAATGAGGTGCTCCGATGCAAGTGGAGTGCCGCAAGGTTTCCTTCCTACGGCTGGCAACTGCGTCCAGGATGGTCATGCAGGTAGGAACGTGACCCCTGATGCCCTCTCGTGGTCTCAACGTCCTGTTTGCACACCTGTTGAACCTGCTGAATCTACTGCAGCGAGCAGAATGGCACCCTTCGCAACGGCAGCTTTTCTGGCTGGGCTGAACTTGTGAGAATCTTTTTGAGCATCATGCGACATTCAGTTTTCGGGGCATGCTGCTCAAAGCAGTGTGCCGGCGTCTTAGCATATTTTTAAGGCTTTGGGGGATCTTCAGGCTATGGAGCGTTAAGCGCCCAAGCGTTTTTCCAAGAGTCCAAGCCTATAATTTTCATGTGGCTGGACATGCGCTCGAAGTATGAGTGCACGAGGGGTGGGGTCATGCACTGTGAGACTCACAGGCCAGAGCGAAGCGCAAAGATCTCGCAGCCGCCAGTGTGTGCACGTGTGCGCGCGAGCGCGCGCGCGCGCGCGCGCGCGTACGTCTGTGCATTTGTCGTGTGTTTCGTGTTGCGTGTTGCGCGCTGCACGCGCGGGCGGGCGGGTGGGTGGGTGGGTCTGTCTGTCTGTGTGTGTTGGTTCTCCTGAAGCCAGGACACAACGGGAGGTGAGGGGGAACTTAGCCAAGGAGCGCCTGGGGCCTAGGCTCATGCCAGGTGTCATGTGCGGGACCAGCGGTGCATCCTTTTCATGAACTAAACTGATGGTGCTTGTGGACATCGCACGAACTGTTCACCAAGTTGGATCATGCGTGGGAGGCTCACAGAAGGCAAGTGATGAGGGTTTAGGGTGTATACAGGAGCTTAGAGTCCAGGAGTTTAGCGGCTCCTTCGGGAGGGTTTAGAGTCTAGCGTTCTCACAATGTCTCCTGTCCAACTGGGGATTTCCATAAGAGTCCCCTTTTGGGGGGTTCCTACACGACACAGCCGTGCCAGTGAAGTCACGCGCATCAGCTGGAACATACTGTCAAGGGATGAAGAGACCTTAACACCCAAGGGTACAACCTTAAACCCTAAACCCTAAACCCTAAACCCCAGACAGGCTGCCCTTAAGGGCCCAAGGTGGAAGCCCTAGATTCTCACGAGGAGCTGCGCGGCTCTTCAGCTCCGAGTTTCGGTTTACTGGAACGGAGAGGGTTTAGGGTTTAGGGTTTAGGGTTTAGGGTTTAGGGCTGAAGAGCCGCGCATCTCCTCGTGTCAGCCATGTCTTGGCGCGGCACTGGCAAGCAACCGCCGGAGGACCCCTGGGGTTTAAACCCCAACCCTAAACCCTAAACCCCTTTTTGTTGTCCGCTTTTATTTCAAGCTGGCATTTTGGCATCTTGGCCCCCAGCGGAAGTTGTTCATTGATTCATGTAAAATACTTTGAATAACCGAGGCACCCTTTCCCCCCATGTTCCCTTCCAGTTCTTCCAACTGCAGACCACCGTGTGCGCCCCTCGGGGGAAAGAGAGATCCTGGCAGCGCCCGCTCCCCAGAATCCAGCAGAGACTCCCGCAAAGAGTCCTGGGGGTCCTTGCCCCAGAAAGTCCCAAAAGAGAGAGTTGCCAGGAATCCACCCAGAACCAAGAAAATCCCGCAGTGCGCACCCAAGAACATATCGCAGGAAATCCTGCAGGGTACCCCTGCAGTGCCTACCCTGCATTGAGTGCCTACGTTCAGAATGTCCAAATGCTTAGGGTGCAGATGTTCAAAGTAGCTTCATGGCCATTTCCCGTAGATGCCCCCACCCACAATACTACACCTCTAATTGTCGGAGCTTCCAAAAAGTACCCCCTATTCTCGGAAGCACCGACATAAGTTTGTTAAGAAGGCATCGCCGGCCTTGTCTTCACCTAGCTTTAGATGCCCGAGACCTTGCCTAAGATTTTTCTGTGCTTAAGGTCTTGAAGTAGCTGAACACCCAGTGATCCAAGCCCTTAATCTTCTGCATTCAGCCCAGAGAGGCGGGCCATGAAAAAAGGATTTGCCTGACCTTGGAGGGGGAGGGGCCAAAGCAGGACCTACATTATGCGCACGACACGAAGAACTCCTTCTCAAAGATCAACACAATCCTGGTAACTTTCGGCATGTTTTGTGCTAGGCTTAGGAAGGTGCGCCAGTAAGCAAAGCGAAGACGCACCAATAAGCCGAGCAACCTCACATAGTGAGCGAAGATGCACCAATAAGCAAAACAACCGCGCATGGCAAGTGAAGACGCGCCAACAAGCAAACAAGCTTATTGCGCGAAGACTATAAGCGAAACAATTGCATATAGTGAGAGCTAAGGCGCGCCAACAAGCAAAAGCAACTGCGCAGTAAGTGAAGCCACGCCAGTAAGCAAAGCGAAGACGCACCAATAGGCACAACAGCCGCACATAGCAAGCGAAGACGCACCAATAAGCAAAACAACAGCATATAGATCATATTGCAGTAAGCGAAGACGCACCAAGAAGCAAAGCAACCGCACAATAGTAAATGTGCCAAACGCCAGCCTCCCCCCAGATGCGAGCACAGAACGCAGACCGGAACCTCCCCAACCCCTTAGAGCCCCAACTCTTTAAACGGGAGCTATTCTGCTGCACACTCGGGAAAAATCCTAAACCCTAAACCCAAGCCCTACTGCGGTTTCAGGACTTCGCTCTGGTAGACAAGAAACTGTTCTGGAATCGCCGGGACGATGATGAGGTCCTCGCGATTGCCCAGAGAGCGCCCCAGCAGCACAGATAAACGTGATAAGCCCTAGGACAGCAAGGTAGCGCAGCATGTGTGTTCTATTTTCACGCTGCCAGTACTCAAAGATGCAACTACAGGATGTGGGTTCCTGCGACAGTACTTTCATGATTTCGACGATTTGGCTGGGTTGGCCATGAGATAGCGAACCGTGTGCATTCCTAGTGTTGTTTGCTTGCCAGCGGTATCCTCTTCAGATTTGTTTTTCTCGGATCCCCTTTTCAAACCTCCCTCCCCTGTTTCGACATGATTCCCAAAATGATGAACAGGTCGTTCATTGCAGTCTTTGCCTTGCATTCCATCTCGCACCGTTTGGGGTCCAGCCATAGGCAATCTGCAAGAGTGACTCGGAAACCCATTCCTGTCAGCGCAGTTGCAGAAGTGGTCCGGCTTGTTGATTTCAGTTAGGCTCTCGCAGTAGGCATGGCTCCATTGTCATTTTGTTTCCTTCGTTCCCCTCCCCAAATCAACAAGAGCGCAAATCGATTCCCAACTTGCTGGCATTGCCACCCCCTCCCCAACACAAACCCATAGTGGCACGCTCTCCTTTCCCCACTTAAGTATGGCCTCATCAGAACTTCGACCCCCAGCCGCACCGACACCAAGCTTCGTTATGTTGAATCAGGGCCAAACTTGCTTTCGTCCCTGCTGCCGGGACGTTGCATTCCAGCCTGCAGAAGAGCCTTGGCTGTACTCATCCTTCAGACCTCTTCATCGTAAAGGTGGGGAGGGGACATAACGATCCTTGGAAGTGTCCCAACAAGCAAAACGTCGCACCCTCCAAAAACTTCCTTCAACATCGTAATCTCCCGATGATGTTTCAATTGCTTCTTTTTCGGTTTCAACGAAAGGAGTTGGACAGAGAAAAAAGAAACAAGGCAACGACAAGATGAAATAAGACGATTTTCCGCTGATATTGTGGCACTTCCCACTTCCAGCCTAAGCAGAAATGTGGTTTTTATGCCACCTCACATCGAAAATTATAGAAGTAGAGAAGTAAAGAATCAATTTAATCCACCCCTCTCGTTTTTGGTTTTTCGATGCTTTAGAGAGGCTTGAATGGGGACGTGAAGGATTTTTCTTTAGAACTTCAGAAGTAGAGTAGAGACTTATTCCTCGTTTCTTGCTTTTCCAGAGAAGTAGAGAGCAGGCACTTACTCTAAATTCCTTCAAGCCCCGCTTGAAGCCCCCCTTTCAAGCCCTCCCACGATCCGTCGTCCGCCCCCCCCCCCCCCCCCAAACGCCCCCCCTTCAGACCCCCCGCGTCAAGCCCCCTTTCCCCTTTCAAGGTTCAACACATTGTAAACCACATGTATTCGAGTTTTTGTTGAGAAAGAGTGCTTGCTAGTTGCTGATTGCCGATGTTGTTGAGTTGAGTATCCAGCCCTGCAGAGTAGAGAACGTCACCAATGCCGCTGACACACAGGCAGAATTGCTATAAGAACTCCGCCCAAAGAGCAAATAGTTACCAACTGGTTGGCTTGCCAGGACGAATGCCTACGGTTAACTGCTTTTACGTTTGCCCCCCAAGTCAATAAGGCTTCTTTTTTGAGTTGGCTGCGGCCGGGGGCTGGGGGGGCTTAGAAGTTCAGGTTGAGTGTATGTGAGTGGCTAGGGGCTTGCAGGCTCAGATGTTCTGTCCCACTTTGTCCTACTACCGTATAGCTTGAGTCTCCAAGTCGTCTTCTGCAGTGTGTCATGAGTTTAGTTATTGTCGTCAAGGACCTTGCTGCTCACTTCCACCCACTTGGAGCCGGATGATGGGGTCTTCCAAATCGTCGTCCAGGCCTGCATTCCTCTACCTTGATGGACGCGGGTCACTGTATTTGCTGTGTTCCATTCGCATCAAGATGACGGCAGCTTGCTGTTGAGCGTTGGGCTGCGGCTTAGTGAATTTATTGGCGGGGCGTTGTAGGGGCCTATTCTGGCCGCTGGCCAAGGGAAAACAACTGGCTGCAAACAGAGGCAAGGAGGATTGAGCGGCCTCAGGGCTCTGGATGGGCTGAGGCTCACAAGTTGAGGCCTTGCAACAGCCCCGGCCCCTTCCTTTGGTGCCTGATTTGCTTCACATCGTACCAGAGCTTGCGTGTGGTGGATGACCCAGAGACACCTTGCGCTCAGAACCTTCGCAAGAGTTGCTGAATTTGCCCCCTGTGAATCTATGCTTTTAGGTGCTTGAAAGCCACATCTGCTGGGCTGACTTGCGGCTTGAAAACTCAATCGTGCTTGCGACGGCTCGTTGAAGAGAGGTTGCTTCACAATTTAGAGCCACAGCAGCAGAACGGAGGCAATGAACTCGTAAAGACGAACGAAGACTTCAGACTAGTAGGACACAAACAAAAGAGAACATGTCCAATGCCTATTCAAGAAGAAATGCTTGAGAAGCACCAAAACGAGACGTGCATCGATTGTCATGGCGCACAGATGTCATAGGATGGTGGCTCTTGCCATCTTCACCCATGTG